CTCGGCGAGGCTCTGTTGGCGAAGCTCCTCGGCTTCGCGGCGCGCCAGTTCTTCCTCCTGTTCCACGGTGAGTTTTGCCGTGGGGTCGCGCCAATGTGGGTAAATCTGCAGAAAATTCTCGCGGGTGTAGGGGCGTGGCATGCCACGCGCATCGAAGGTGCCGACACCAGTTCCACGAAGCATCCCTCGAAGATGTTGAGAAGGGGGACCTGTGAGGGGGTGCTCAGGCGTGCCGAACACGCCATGCGTGGTGACTTCGAGTTCGAGTTGCGACATCCCTTCCTCGGGGGGCGCGTTGCGCTCTGCTTCCGCGATGGCGGCGAGTCCACGGCCTGCAATCGCGCTCGTCGAGGTCGTCGGCGTGTGACAATCCCTGCAGATTCCATCTGGATCGGGGTTGTGAACTTCCATTTCGCATGGGTGGGGATGATGCGGCACCCACGGCCTGCCGTCAGGGTGCTTCCAGTCCCTGCGGTGGATGTGTTCGAATCGCAGTGGCACGAGGTCAATCAGCTCGTGCGAGTCGCCGCTGCAGTCGGGAATATCGAAATCCAGGATGTACACTCCATTTTCGGAGTGTGCTCGTCCGATCTGCCTGCGGGAAAAGGTGCGCGATTCGTAGTGCAGCAGAATGTCGCGCGTCGCGCGATCTGTGCTGAGTTCTACGCCGCAATCCATGAGCTGTGCGGCGGACAGGAGGTTGAAGCGCAGGTTCTGGACGATCAGCACATCGTTGAGCGTGATGTGCGTGCGGCTTCCGCGTGCCTTGAGCACGACGATGCCTTGCGCGCTTGCGCGCAGGCGCGTGTTGTTCGCCACTGTGACGTAAGTGACTGTGGGGGTGGCGACGGCGTTGGATATGTAACGCTCGGAGCCTACCATATGCTGGCCGCAGCAGCTGTCCAGGTACCAGGTGTTGTAGCGCTTGTTGTTGTCACGTGCGAGCAGCGCCAGTCGCGGCGTGACGATATGCGCAGTGTCGAACTTCAGGAATTGCTCGCGCGAGAGCCAATCAAGTGGCGCCACCCGCATGTCAGGTACGTGCGGGGGACTCTCAAGCAGCGGGACTGGGAGATTCCAGTCCTGGTCGTCGTCGTCGGTGAAGTCGTGGCGCGGACTGAATGGGTTGTTGTTAGAGAACGCGCCAATGGGATGCGGTGCTGGCTCAGGTGATGGTGAGCGCACGCGGCGACGACGTGACTCGCCTGTCATGGCCATGTTGCTCATGACATTGCGTACTGTGGCAGTCGGTGGCGGCTGCTGCTGCTGATGCTGAACCGCGGGGTTCAGGTTGCGCGCGGGTTGGGGTTGATACCCCTGGGCTGGACGCACGTCGCCTCGTGCGTCTTGTCGGCCGGACCAGGTGCTCGGATTGGTCTGGCGAGGGCGAGATCGGTATTTACATCGATCCGCCAGGTGCCCGAAAGTCCTGCAAATTTTGCAGTAGAGGCGCCTCGGCCGTCGCTCTTCGTTGTTGTCGGCGTAGAAGGCGAGCCGTTCTCTTTCTCGTCGTGGCGCTGGTCGCTGCTGGTCCATATCCCGTTGTTCGACGAGAAGGGCGGCGCAAAGGGCGGCCTCCGAGATGACCCCCTGCTGTCGGAGAAGCGCCTTGCAGGGCCGCCACTCTGGGCCGAGCCCTTGAAGTACGATGTTAACGAAGATTTCTTCAGATATCGTGCTTCCCAACTTCACGATTTGATCGCGAAGGCTCCGACAACGGTTAAGGTAAGTGTTGACCTTCTCCCCTGAGGTCATCTTGGTTTCCAGGAGTTCCTGGAGCAGTCGGCTCGAGGAGACAGAGTCCTTGGGCTGATACACTCCTGTCAGATGTCGCCAGGCGTTGAGGGCTGGAGCAGCTGTCGTTTTGTACGAACGAATGTTGAGCTGCTCCGCCGGGGACATGTTCCGCAGGAGCACCCCGTACGCCATCAGTGATTCGTTGTAATACCTCGCCTTGGCGTCGTCGGTGTCCTCGGCAGGCTCGGCGTAGCTCCCGTCGAAGTAATGGAAGATTTGGGCGTTCTGCAGCAGGAGCTCCAATTCGAAGCTCCAGGTATAGAAGTCTTTGCCGTCAAAGCTGGAACTTGTCTTTATTTTTGATATGCTCAGAAACTTTGATTGAGCGGAGAGAATTGCTTCTTCACTGGGACGGGGAGCCTTGGGGGTTGAGCCATTTGTGTCGAGGGAGAAGGTTTGCGGGACGGTGTTCTGCCCAGTTGGACCTGGTTGGGATGGTTGCGAGGATGTTCCCGCATCGCCGTTCCGCAATGTTTGGAGCCCTTGCTCCAGACTGGTGATTTGCTGAAGAAGTTGTGCGAGGACTTCGGTGCCGATCGTAGTCGTTTCCTCGCTCGTCGTTGCCGGATTGGTGCGCGCTTCAGCCGTCAGATTAGTCTGACCACCAGATCCTCCGGCCATTCTCACACGCGAGCGTGTGCCGGTCGCCACTTTCCGAGTGTCGCAATTTTCGGGAGTGGTGTTGCGAAGGATTCCCGAGCCGCTCTCATACCATGCTACGATCAGAGAATGATTGCTTTGCCGGGATCTACTCGGGAAGGTTCGCACACAGGGAAATGTAGTTGGTGGGCCCGTGACCTCAATAGCAGAGTGAATGTAAAATGCTTGAGATGATTAAAACATGCAAATACAGCAAGTATAAATATGAGTACAGGGAAGACGAAACGACCTAGCTAGCCATGTACTCTAAGGGGTACATTCCCTTATTCAAACGCATTCTCAACCGTGCGGCGCGTACAGTTTCGTAACTGTTCCCGCCAAAAACATCCTGCCTGCAGCTGTTCGATGCCATCTGCTTCCGACGGTCCAGATGCGCCCCAACTGTCTGACACTTGAGTCAAACTCCAACCGTCTGACGGTTCGCTTTCTTGCTTCGATACTGCGTGCTTCTCTTTGCTGCGGTGAGGAGTGCTCAGTAACAATTAAATGTTACTATTCGTAACAGGAGGAAACCCATATATGTCTTATGCTTGTATAATCATTCAACAAGTCTAAGAACCCGCGAGATTCTTTCGCTTCTTGGAGAGCATGTTTTTCTTCTTCCTCCGCGGCGAGAACTTTAACGTAGTCATGCCCGTGGGAGTACATCAAGTGAAAGGTCGGTCAGTCATATGGGTGAGGTCGATTTTTGCTGTTGAATGCCCCACGACTTCCGCTATGGAGAATGTGTTGTATGCGTTCGGTCATGATAGTGTGGTGATCGAAGATAGTGGGACCCAGGATTAAGATGGCAGCGGTGCAGAGTTTATCATCTATCATCATTTTTTTCGGACGATATTTAGTTATTTGTCCTTTTTTCAGACGTGTCCTTATGATATTGCTTAACAATGCTGTAGGTGTGGGGCAACTGTGATATATTCTATATGCTATAGGATTGTGAAGACTAAGGGTATATTCCGCTGTAGACATGTCCCTTAAGAAAGCGTCGCAATCAATTTTCCGCCGAGTCGCGTCCAAATGCCTCGACACCTCATGTGATACATAATGTACATGGATGTACATGAGTGAATGTACATTGATGCAGAGATTTTCGCAAGGGAATGTTTTATTGTTGTGGAGCTCACAAGAGTATACGCATCATATAAGCGAGGTTCGTCCTACAGAGTGTGTGCATATGTGTATAACGAAGACGGCCCACACCTTGATACACCTAACCACCGCTATTTTCTTTCGGTCTATCTTCAACCCCCACGTGTGCAAAGGGGTAGGCACCCTTCAAAACGTTTTTGACCGAGGGTTGTGTCGGACGTCATACGCTCTACGCAGAGTTAGTTCCTGACTCCTGAAAGCTACGCAATGGGATGCGCAACAACAAGCAGACTCCACACGAGCCGAAATTGTCTTACACTCGCCCGATTGAAATCTCCATTTGATGTCATTCATAGTCCCCTATAACGAGGTTTCTAACAGAAAACCCCAAAAGCTGGGCAGGGATTACATGAAAATCGGGAACAGTGCCAAGGTCAGAAGTTGAAAATAGCGGTGGCTAGGTGTAGTTTCGGTGGCGAAGTTCAGGCACGGCAAGCGGCGGCACGTACGCGGAGGCGCAGGTCATGGGTCAAGGGCCAACATCTCATCCGCTCCTATCGGACGGTCCGTCAAGGCCAACCGTTTGAGGGATAAGACAGACCGTGTCTGTGATTGGCTGCCGCCAGTTGCCGCGAGGAATTCCTGTCACATGAACAGCACCGGGACTGCCGCCGACAACCCGTCCCGTCAGTGCGGGTTGCAAAAGTGGACCTCAGCAAACGCCCCCCGTTATTGTCTCAGCCACGGCGGAAGCTAGCTGCGGTGCGCAGCAGCATAGCCTACACGTTGGGCGAACAGCGCGGAGCAGGATTCGCAAATGGGAGGAACCAAGGTGGAATCCAACGAACCAGATTGCAGAACGTCAAAATGCGGAGTTTGGGAGGAGAGTCGCTGAAACCAAGGCCAGGAGATGAAACGAAATGCGAAGTTCCCCAGAGTGGATTTTCGTCAGCAGATTCGACTTCCAGCAGTAGAATCCAGGACACAGTTTCAAAAGGTGAAACCAGAAGCAATTCCAGCTTCGTTTTCTGGGATGCGTTGGTTGGTAGGCAGGCAGACCACCACCACTTGAGGGCGGTTCTGTCCCATCCATAGTCAGGGAGTTCCCTCGTTCCACTAGTTACCTTGGTTCCGGTTGACTGAAGTGGCTTGTTAGTGTGTAGATTTTTGTGTTGTTGTAATTAAGATGCCACGTTCACATTAGCTACTCAAGCAAAGCTTTTCCGAAGTTCACATAGTAGCTGTTTGACATGGGTATACCCCGGCGATCCGCATACACGAGGTTCGTAGACCAATCAGACAGCGACAGCTCTCCAGGCTCCTCCAATCCCTCCTCCCCATTATGTCAGAGCAACCCCTATCGGTTCACCTCCGCGAACCTACACACGCCAGAAGACGCCAAATCGCTCCAAACCGAATGGAACCTCTATCAGATGCAATCCCCATCCCCGCCCATGCCCCACGCCTTAGCTCCAGTAGAGGAAGCCGAGAATGACGCGCAAGAGCTTGAGCTCGGGGGAGAACCGGGGGAGGCGCAGGCTCTTTGCGACGATAGAGAGAATGGCGGAGGGGAGGCGGAAGGCGCGGGCGGAAGCGGGAGTGGCGGCGGATGGGGGGAGCGGAGAGCGCAGCTGCTGCAGCTTGGAGCCGCGAGCTGGGACAGGCTGGTGCCGCGCCGAGTGCGGAGAATCTTCGGGCAGGGAATCATGCCGCGCGCGTGGGGGTCGCAAGGGCCGATATTCGGGCTCGTGGATCGGCAAACCACGCCAGCATCGGCATGGGAGTGGTGCGTGCTAATGCAATCCGGTAATCTTTGTGATTTCTGAATAATGACTCCAACATATTCCGGGCTTCTGGATCGGCAAACCACGCCAGCACCAGCATGGGAGTGGTGCGTGCCAATGCGATGCGGTTAATTACCTCGAAAATTTTGTCTGTATGTTGTTGCGTTGTATCGAGTAACAAGTTTATTCGGAACGAATTTGGTTGCCGCGACACCTCATTGCCGTTTTCCCACCGCGCGCTGCCGTTTACCCAGCAGACTAATTGCCGCGTCGAAGTTTCGCCGCAGAAGAAGTTGACTTTCCTCCGCCATCCGCTCTTACGACTGAGTGGTTCAGCTGCCATAAGAGCATTTTCTTTCCCCCCTTCTCCCCCCACACCCTTTCTCCCCGGGCCGACTGTGCGCGGTTCCCCACAGGCTAGTGGACACGTGGAAGTCTCGCCGCGTGGGGCAGCTGGATTTTCTGCGCCATCCGCTCGTGCGGCCGGTGGTGCAGCTGCCGACGGAGGCGTTCGTAGGGCTGCTGTTCTGGACCAGCCTCATGGCGTTCGTGCGCAGCGTGTACTGGTTCATGCTCGCCGCGCAGGGCCTCACGTCGCACATCCTCCTGCTTGGCTATCTGCTAGTTCCGGGTAGGGCTCAATTCAGTTAGGTGCTCCTCGCGCAGCGTGTACTGGTTCATGCTCGCCGCGCGGGGCCTAACCTCGCATACCTCCTCCTCGGCTACCTGCTCGTCCCGGGTAGCTCCTCAGTCGGTCAGGCAGATGCTTGTCGCAGAGAGGGCATCGCAGTCGCCTGATGCTCGTCGCAGAGAGGGCATCGCAGTCGCCTGATGCTCGTCGCAGAGAGGGCATCGCAGTCGCCTGATGCTCGTCGCAGAGAGGGCATCGCAGTCGCCTGATGCTCGTCGCAGAGAGGGCATCGCAGTTGCCTGATGCTCGTCGCAGAGAGGGCATCGCAGTCGCCTGACGCCCGTTTCCACTGCTGCGTTGGCCGTTGAGGCGATTTCATGCATGTCGAACCCTACCCTCCATTGAGTTCGCTTTCCGTCGCCTCATTTGCCGCGCCTCTTCCCCGCCCCGCCTTATGTCTCGTTCTACCCACTGCCAACGCGAATTCGCCCTCAGTTTTTCCCGCTTTTTCCTCCACTTATTCTTTTACCTTCACCAGGTCTCGTGCTAGGTCACGAGTTTCTACACCAACTGCTCTCCACCAATCCGGTGCTCCGAGCGCTCCTCGTCTTAGGCGGCGTGGTCGGCGTGGGCGGCAGCAGGGAGGGCGTCGAAACCACTATATGGGGGGTTGCTCTTAGCGGAGCAGGGGTTGCCATGGTAGGGTTATACATAGGGGAGGGGCTGTGGCTTGCGCCGACTGCGCGCAGGCGGAGAGTCGGGTTCGGACTCGCGGGGGGACTGCTGCTGCTGCAGGCGCTGCAGTTGGCGTTCGGCGGGCGGAACCCGCTGCTTGCGCGCTGGTGGGGGCTGCTGCTGCTGGCCGTGCTCCCGGGCGCGTGGGTGGCGGCGCTGCTGCTGTATGAAGAACTGAGGGACTGGGAGGGGGAGGAGGAGGAGGAGGGGCGGATGGTGGGCGGGAGCGGGAGCGCGGAGGGCGCGCCAGGGTACTGGCCGGTTGGGCGCGGTGGGCAGCGGTTGGAAGGGACTGTGTTGAGTGAGGATGACTGGAGTGTGGAGTCGGAGGGAGGGTGGCGGGCGGCAGAGGAGGCGGGATTGAAGCAGTTGAATTGTGTGAAAGGTATGGTTGCAAACGGTGGGGAAGGAGCGGAACTGAGGACAGAAAATGCAAGTTTCGTAGCAGTTACGGTTGATGGGGCCCAAGAGGAGACGCAGCAGCAGCAGCAGGTGCAGGTGCAGCAGCGAGAGCAGCAAGGGAAGGGATCGAAGCAGGAAACCGAGGTTATGTTAGGGGGAGGAGCCACAATCCCAGCATCAAACAAAGCCCCAGCTGCCGAACCTGCTGCTGCTGCCCGCCCACTGAGCACAGGCTCGGGTTGCCTTGGAACGTCCTCCGAGCCTAACAGCCGGGGCTGGGGAAGCGTGGACGAATCGCACGATGCCTCGTCATCGGCCTATGACCGATCACGCACAGTATCCGCGTCGGCAGCAGCAGGTGCGGGAGGGAATGCTGCCACAGGACCCGTGTGGGTGGCTGATATGCTGGGCGGGTTTATGGAGGAAGAGGAGGAGGTGGAGAACGGTGGGGAGGGCGGAACTGTAGTGATGAGTGAAAGTGATAGTGACAGTAACGCTGGGGCGAGTAGAGAGGGGTGTGGGTGCCTTGTCACGCAAGGGTGTAAGTGTGTAGGGGTGGTAGGTGAGGAGGGGACGCATGGGGGTGAATGCAAGTGCAGGGTAGAGGAAGGGGGAGGAACAGAGGAAAGAGCGGCTGGGAGAGAAGGGGAGGTGAGGGAGTGTACAGGATATGGAGGGGAGATGGGAGCTGCGGAGGAGGAGAATGGGGAGTTAGGTCAACAGCAAGAAGCAGGGCGTGAATTGGCAGTGCGGGTGGAGGGGCAGGGGCCAGAGCAGCAAGATGGATGCTCTAGCGAGAATTTGCCCAAATGTAACGAGGGGTCACTTGAATGCAATGAGGGTTACCCTGAGTGGCGGGAGCCCGCGCGGGGAGTGCTGGGGTACTTTGGCCTCGAGATTGGTTCTGTGGAGACGTCTGAAGGGAAGCTCAGAGCTGAGTGGCGCAGCAGCCGGCAGTGGGAGACGACTGTGGAGCTTAGCGAGTGTGACAGTATGGGGTATGGGACGGAGGGCCGGGCAGAGGGATATGGGGCAGGGGGCGGAGGAGGAGCAAGGGGAGGAGGAGGAATGGGAGAGGGAGAGGGAGGGGGAGGTGAAGGGGGAATGGAGGCGGGAGATGGAGCAGGAGGAGGTTGTGAAGGGTTGAGTGTGGTTCGGGTGCGCAGCAGGGAACGCAAGTGCTACGACACGTGCCCGAACCTGCCTCAAGCCGGCCAGAGTGAGGCATGGAAGGCAGCAGCATCATTGCCGTGGGAGGGTCCGTGGGACAGACTGGGCAGTTTGGACAGAGCAGCTATGGCTCGAGCAACATTGGCTAGAGCAGCAGACGACGAAATGCTCCCTTTCCGGCAGAAACGCGCTCATTGGACGAAGCACGGGTGCGTGCGCACTTGTCAAGCCGCCATTGGTCACGGAAGCCTCATGTTCCTCTGCCATTGGCTGCTCTCCTCTCCGTATCTGATTCCCAGATGGCTCTCTGCTCCCCCTGCATGGGGTTTCATCTCTGTAGTGTCACTCGCTTTAGGTATAGTGCTCGCAGCAGAGGTTCTCAGAATGCATATCCCTAAGCGCGTGCATGCCATAGCTGCATTGGCTCTTGCTATCTCTGGGTGCATCTGGTTGCTTCTCTCTGGGCCGTTCCATCCCATTCCTGCGCTCCAGGCTCGGCCCGAGCCTGGGTCACGGTTCTGGCTGTCGTTCTCCCAAGCCAGCGGGTACGTGTCAGACGAGCCTCAGGATCTGGTATACCTTTCCGGACCTGTAACCGGGCCTGTTGCTGGACCTGTTGCCGGACCTGTTGCCGTACCTGCTGCTGCTGCCTCGGCATCGCAAGTTAGCACATCCACATTTTCCGAACCAGCAGCAGTTGCAGCCAGAGCAGCAGCAGCAGCCGAAGCTGCAGGCTTCCGATCCTATCTTCTTGGTGCGCCGCTCCTAGCCATGGCAATCCCGAGCCTGTGGGTTGTGCTGGCGCAGAACATGGGCGGGGCGTATCCAGGCCTAGGAGCAGCAGGTTCGGCAATTTGGTATGTCGTCCTGCTGGTTTGGAGTGCAGCCTTGGTGGCGTATGAAAAGCTCGGACCTCTCGGCTTGCTTCGGGGGAGCTTGCCGGTCCTAATGGTGGTCTCAATGGGAGGCGTGGCTTGGGGAATATGGCGGGTCCCCGAACCTAAAGGCGAGGGACGGCGGGGCGACCTGGCGGTTCGGACGGAGTGGTGGAGGGTCGGGCGGCTCGCGTGGGGCAGCGGCGTCCCGGACCGAATGGTTAGGCTCGGTGCCCTTATCCTCGTTGCATTTCTCATGCTTCTCTCACAGGGGACCTTGTCCTTCCGGTGTAAATAACAGGGAGCTGGGAAACAAAAGAAGGGAAACCACAGGAAACAGGCAGCACGAGTTGCAATCATATTCAAGGTTTCAGCCCAAGGGAGGGTAAGGGAGGGAGGGGTTTCTTTGACCTCATCTCTTGCTCTCTTGCTGCTCAAGCCCCTCCTCTCTTTGCCCGTTGAAACACAGCCTGCTTGTAGATTTGATGCTTCTAGTGTGATAGTCTGTAGTCGGCACTGCTCGTGCCAATCCCTTGCCACTACGTCAGTTTATCCCCCCTGGCACTGCTCCTGCGACATGCGTGCTCGGGCAGCGGCATCCATGCTCGAGCAGCGGCATGCATGCTCGTGAGACGTCATGCGTGCCTGTGTGGCTACAGCATTGACGTTTCACAAGCATGCATGACGTTGTGAAATAGGTTGGTTCAACCTGTGAAATGAGCTATAGGTTGGTCTAGGCGCAAGGGCTGTGGTGTTTATTCCTGTGGCCCTTGAATTCATCCCTTCATATGTTCGCCCTTTATATGAATTTATCACAATTTTCACCTATTTCCCCCCTTTTCGTGGCATCCCTTTGAAGTGTTTTTCATTTTTCAACCCTTCATTGAACCTGCACCAGGTTTCTCAACTTTGTTTCCTTTTCCTGTTCCCCCTCACATTCTCCCTTTTTCCCACCGTAATTCCCTACCACAACAGGCGCTATTAGCTCTTCTCCTGATCGTCCTCCTCCTCCTCCCCTTCCCGCTCCTCCTTCAATACGCCTACGCCCCTTCCTCCTCCCCAACCTTCGTCAGCAGCTTCGGCAGCAGCAGCAGCAGCAGCTCCGGCGGTGCCGAGCCTGGCTCGGAGGCTTGGGTGCAGCTTCGGGTGCTCAACTTCAATGTGCAGCAGGGATTCAGCCGTGCAGGTTCAGTGAACCTGGACGCCATAGAGCATGTCATCTGGCAGCAGAAGCCAGACATTGTCTTGTAAGTACACTGTGGGAAACTCTATTGCGTAAATGGGCCCTACCTTGGACTGTTCAGCCGTGCAGGTTCAGTGAACCTGGACGCAATTGAGCATGTCATCTGGCAACAGAAGCCGGAGTTTGTATTGTAAGTACACTGTGCGAAAAAGTAACCCGTGCGTAGCGTTTGATTCAGTGAACCTGGACGCCTTAGAGCGCACCAGCTGGCACAAGATTCCCAGCATAATCCACAGCAAGGCTGACTCTGTCTGACCATCTTTGACTGTCCTTGACCTCCATGTGCCATCTCTTTCCACGTGGGACCCATGGCAGGCTGCAGGAGTCAGACACATTGCACACGATCCACGGCAATGTTGACTCTGTCTGACCGTCTTTGACCATGTTTGACCGACCTTGACCTTGAATTGTCGTCTCCTCCTCCATTCTTGCCCCCCGTGGCAGGCTGCAGGAGTCAGACACGATGCACATGATCCACGGCATTGTTGGCTCAGAGTGCTCTCCTGATTGACTTTTTTTTCACCATTCCACTCTCTCCTCTCCACATCGCCCCCCCATGGCAGGCTGCAGGAGTCAGACACAATGCACATGATCCACGGCAATGTTGACATGGTGAGTCACATGCTTGTCACATACCACGCTCGTAGAGTTCTATTGTTGGAAATGCCCGAAACTACCAATTTTAGATTGATGCTGGTGTAAGCTTGATTTGGATCGGAGGTGCCCCCTTAAAAAGTTCCCATTTGCACTCATACCCTCCCTTCCCTCCTCCCCTTCCCTTTGCGCTGCCCCACCCGCAGGTACAGTACCTGGCAACATGGCTGGGCATGCACGCCTGGTCCTCCCCGCCCGCCCGCCGCCAGTCCTGGGGATGTGCCATCCTCTCGCGCTTCCCCCTCCTCTCCGCCTCCGCCTCCCAGTCCCTCCCCTCCCCTCACGGCGAGCTAGCTTGTTTCCAACATGCTGTTATTCTCCTAGGCGCTGGTAACATGCTGCCTGGAGGCGGTAACATGGTTACCAGCGAGAGTGTGGGTGCTGGTGGTAACCAGACGAGTGGGGTCGTGTCTGGTTACCCTGTTCACATCATGAACGCACATTTTAGCGATCTGGAGGTGGATATTCGGCTGGAGGCTGAGCGGGCGGCATCCCTTGTCCGTAGTGTGCTGCAGGCAGGAAAAGGGAGGGAGCAGGGTGGGGGAGAGGAGGGAGGGAAGGAGGACGGGGCTGAGAGGACTTTTGAGTCGACTCAAAAGTCAACAGGGAAGGAGGACGGGGCTGAGAGGGAGGAGAGACGGACTCAAGAAGAAGGGTTCCAAGGAGGAATGGAGACAGCAGGTGAACTGTCAGGTGAATTTTCAGGTGATTTGTCAGGCGGAGCAGTGGATGGATCAGCAGATGCTGGCGCACATTCTCCTGTGCATGCTGCGTTGGAAGCAGAGTCAGGGGCAGCAGCAGCGGCAGGGGCAGCAGCAGCAGCAGCAGCAGCAGCAGCAGCTGCTGGAACAACAGCAGAGAGCGGTTTATCTGGAGGCATGCAAGTAGCAAGCACAGCGGCAGCAGTGGATGGGTCAGAGGAACACGCAGGAGGAGCTTTGGAGGGGCGTGTTTCTGGGGCAGAGGGTGAGGCGTCAGCCGTGGCAGCAGCAGCAGCAGCAGCAGGGGTAACACAGGATGGAGACGCAGAAGAAACGGCAGAAACGGGAGAAACAGCAGAAGCAGAAGTTGCAGCAAAGTCAGGGTCAGCAGCATTGGCAGGGTCAGCTGAAGAAGAGGCAGTAGGGGATGGAAATGCAGCAGTAGGGCCAGATGATGCATCAGAAGCAGAGGAAGCACCAGGTTCAGTGGCGGCACCAATGCCATTGGCATCATCATCACAAGCAGCACCGGCCACAACAGCCCCCACCACCCACCCTCTCACTTCATCCCTTCCCACCACCCCCACTCCCGCACCAACACTCGCCCCTTCTCACTCTCACACTCCCACGGCCCTAATTTTTGGAGGAGATTTCAACCTCGCACCACTCTCTCCGCCCTACCTCACCCTCCTCTCCCCGGGTCTCATGGACACTCAGGCTGAGAGGATGGGTGCGTGGAAGGGCACGGGGGACCGGGACCCGGGGGCGGGGTATGTGTTTGTGTCGCGAGGGAATGTGGAGTGTGAGGCGTGGCGGGAACCGAGATATGATCAGCGGAAAACGTCTGATGGGTACCCTGTGGTGGTGGATGTGAGGGTCACTCTCCCTGCTGCTGCTGTGTGAAAGTGCTGGTACCTGGATGAAAACAAGACAGGGAGGGAGTGTGCAACGTGGTCTCAGGAGGAATGTGGAATGGCGAGCACTGACTCAAGTAGGGATGGGGAGTGTGAGGGGCGCGGCGGGAACCGAGGTATGATCAGAGGAAGACGTCTGATGGGTACCCTGTGGTGGTGGATGTGAGGGTCACTCTCCCTGCTGCTGCTGTATGAAAGTGCTTGAGCTCATATGAAAGCGAGACAGAGCGAGTGTGGCAAGGTGGTCTTGGGATGAATGTGAGGCGTGGCAGGACCCGAGGTATGATCAGAGGAAGACGTCTGATGGGTATCCTCCTGTTGTGGTCGACGTTAGGGTGACGCTCCCTGCTGCTGCTGTGTGAAATGGAGCTGTGGGTGGGAGTGTGCGAGGTGGTTTCAAGGGGGGATGCGGAGTGTGCGGCGTGGCAGGACCCGAGGTATGATTAGCGAAAGACGTCTGATGGGTACTCTGTTGTGGTGGATGTTAGGGCCACTCACCCTGCTGCTGCTGCTGCTGCTGCTGCGTGAGAAGGGGGAGAGGGGGAGTGTGCAGGGCTGTGAATGACTGACTAAATAAGCTTTTTTTAGCCATGTATTGGCTGGCTGACAATCGGTGACCGGGCGGTGTGTGGACGACGTCAGACTTTTTTGAGGCGCCTCATGAGGCGATGTGTCTTAGCAAGAATGCAAATGAGTCGGGGCGGTTGGAGGATGGTGTGGATGCTTTTTAGAGAATCGTTACCAAGTCAGATACAAATCATGGTGCGAGGGGAGGGCTGCTTCAAAGAAGCAGTGATTTCTGAGGCGCATCAAGGAAGCATAGAATGCCTGTGCACTATCTGAATGCTTGTCCTCGTTTGGGGGGAGAGCTTGATATAGTACACCATCGCACAAAGTGCGTATAGGTTTTATAAATGTTTTCTAGTTCTTCCTGAATGCTTGCTCTGATTTTCTCGCCTCCCCTCCACCCCTTTCCCCGACTATCCGCGCCCCAAATGTTGTAGCCCTCTGATTGTTGCCCTCATAACTGAGCCCCCCATGGGCAGGGGCTCTGGCGATATTGTGTTAACATGATTAGCACCCATGATTTGCTTGGATATGGAGCATTTGAAATGCAAAAAATACTGTACAGATACCGTGTTTTCGGCGTTAAAAAAAAAAAAAAAAAAATCCGGTGTAGTGTATTCCTTGCATGTTGCGGGTTTCCGCATGGCTGGCCGCGTTTGCAGCACCCGCTCGAGCAGCAATTCCAATTCATCCTTCCGTTCATGAGGACGAGGAGCACTGTATCCACAAGTTAATGTATACATATATGTATATGTATAAACACACATAGACAAGCTTATGATAGTGAACTTTGTGCGACGCACTTGTGTCCGCGCAAGGGCTGTACATTTTTATGCACCGGGGATCAGGGAATGTGGTCCACCATCCCACTGAATGACACCCGCTTGGCTGCAATCTGAATCAACCGCCCCTTGAGAAACTTGTATGCATGCTTGGAAGGAGACCTATGCCCATGCCCATGCTCATGCCCCTGCTCATGCCCATGCGCATGTGCATGCTGATGCTGATCTGGATGCTGGTGACGATGTTGGAACCTTTGCTCCTCTGCTGCGTCATGTGGCTGCTCGGAGCGAGTACCGCGTGTTGACTGTCCTTCATGACGCATGCCACCAGCCGTAGCACCATTCGTGCGACCATCCATAACACCGTGTGGCTTCTCCTCAAGTCCAGCAGGAGCTTCCAGGAAGGGGTACGAGATGACAGCCGCTTCCCAGGGGCACCGTGGCTGGCTCCTCTCCCCCCGTACAACCTCCTCTCTGCCACATTCCTCTCCCTCACACTCATCCCTCTCACACTCTCCCTCACACTCTCCCTCACACTCATCCCTCTCACACTCTCGCTCACACTCTCCCTCACACTCATCCCTCTCAAACTCCTCTCCGTCACGGTCCCGTGCCTCCATCTCCCCCCGCACCTCAAACACTCTAAACTCACTCATTCGCTCTCTGCCAGTTGTGCCAGTAACACCGGCAGGTTCCCCAGTCATCGCACCAGCACTCACCCTCTCTTTGGGAGTGGCACTCGTGCCGTCGCTATCAGTGGAATACCAGGGGAACCCGCTGCTGATGCTGCTTGCGATGCTGCTGATGCTGAAGCTCGCGCTCCTCCTTCGCATCCCACCCTTCCTCCTCCTCGGCTGCTCCTCCTCCTCTCTTACTTCTTTCTCTTCTGTATCCGCACGTCTCTGTGGTGACTTTTGAGTCAACTCAAAAGTCACTTCTTTCTCTTCTGTATCCTCACGTCTCTCTCTCGACTCCTCCACGTCTGAAGGCTTTTCTTTCTCTGATGCCCCACCACCCTTCCCACTGCCATTCACGCAGCTCGTGTCTTTTTGAGGCGCCTCAGAGACTGCCTCACTGCCCTTCCCTCTGCCGTTCGCGCCGCTAGCGCTTCGCTGAAGCTGCCTGCCCCACTTGCCACTGATCCTGCTACCGATGCTGTTACCGATGCTGCTGCTGATGCTGGTTCGGATGCCACCCCTGATGCTGGTGGTCAGGGATATGCTCCTCCTCATGACCGCACTGCTGCTGCTACCCCGGTTACGGCTCACATGCATGTTACCTTGAGTGCTCCTCTCCTGCTTCTTTTCATCCTTCGCTTTTCCCTCCTTCCACCTGCTGGTAAGAGATATGCTCCTCCTCATGACCGCGCTGCTGCTGCTGCTACCCCGGTTGCGGCACAAATGCATGTTACCTTGGGTGTTGCTTTCCTGCTTCTTTTTCTCCTGCACCACCCCCTTCTTCTCCTCCTTCCTCTCTTTCCTCTCTTCCTTTCTCCCCCCTTTCCTTTCCTTCCTCTCCTCCTTCCTCTCCTTCCTGTCTCCCTTCCTCTCCTTCCTCTCCTTCCTCTCCTCCTTCCTCTCCTTCCTCTCCTCCTTCCTCTCCTTCCTCTCCTCCTTCCTCTCCTTCCTCTCTTCCCTCTCCACAGTCTCCTTCCTATCACTCAAGGAAACAATACGAAGGGGAGCAGCAGGGGGTGGAACAACAGGAGGGGTAGCAGCAGTAGGGGGAACGGCAGGCGGGGGAGCAGCACGAAGAGAAGTGTGACGGGGGCGAGTGGCACGAGGGCTAAGAGGCCTGGGAATGGCGAGTGCAGCAGAGCGGCAACTCTGTAACTGATTCTCCTGACTCTGCTGGCTGTTGCTGCTCTGCTGGCTGCTGCTGCTGAGCTGGCTGCTGCTGCTGCTGCTGAGCTGGCTGCTGCTGCTGCTGCTGAGCTGGCTGCTGCTGCTGCTGAGCTGGCTGCTGCTGCTGCTGCTGAGCTGGCTGCTACTGCCGCTGAGCTGGCTGCTACTGCCGCTGAGCTGGCTGCTACTGCCGCTGAGCTGGCTGCTACTGCCGCTGAGCTGGCTGCTGCTGCTCAGGTGTTGGTTGCCCTTCCACCTGTTGCTGCTGCCACGGCTGCGCATCACAGCGCCATACAGCCCGATAAAGTCATCGTCTGAGTTGTCCGCGTCTTCCTCCTCTTCACTTTCCATCACATTCCCACCTTTCGTCCCATTCCCACGTTCCATTGGGTCCCTATGGAGTCCTTTCTGCTGCTGCTGCTGCTGAATCAGCCCAATAGCTTCATAGAGGCCCAAGACATGGTCGTCTGAGTCATTTCCTGCATCATCTTCCCGCGCCGCTAGCTCCTTTTGGAAATCATGTGGCAGCACAGGAGACGACTTTTGAGACGTCTCAAAAGCTAGCTCCTTCTGGTAACCATGGGGCAGCACAGGACCTCGGGAATTGTTCTGCTGCTGCTGCTGCTGCTGCTCCTGGTGGGGTTGGTTTTGGTAGTGATTCTGGTGCGGCGGTTGTTCTTGCTGCTGCTTCTGCTGCTGCTCCGGAGCACCAACATTATACAGATCCTGCGAGTTGCAGGGGGCAGCATCCCCGTTATAGAGCTCCAAGTGGAAGCTCCTGCTGCCCCACCTGCGCGACCACCCAGGCTCAGACGCCGGAGAGGGAGCAGCAGAGGCACTGGCGGAGGCGGAGAGAGGCGAGCAGAACGCACAGGAGGAGCGCAGGGCGAGAGAGCCTGTGCGCGAGTGGTGCGGCCTTGATGAAGGCGCGGAGACAGAAGAGAGGGGCGAGAGGGCGGAGCGTGTGGAGTGTTGGGAGAGCGCGGAGTGAGTTGACACAGGGGAGTGTTGAGTTGATTGAAGACAGGCGTCGGATCGCAGGGAGAGAGAGGGAGAGCACGCATGGCGCGGCTGGGATGAGGGGCCGGGGATGGGGGAGAGGGCGGAGTGCGCTGATGCGGGGGAGTGGAGGGAATGGGAAGGGGACTGAGCGGAGTGGGCGGAAATGCGGGAGTGGGCGGAATAAGCGGAGATGGGGAGTGGGCGGAATAAGCGGAGATGGGGGAGTGGGCGGAATAAGCGGAGATAGGGGAGTGGGCGGAGATGGGGGAGTGGGCGGAGATGGGGAGTGGGAGGAGTGAGCCCAAAAGGGGGGGGATGGGGGGGAAGGAAAGCTCCTGCTGCCAGCGATGGAAGGAAGGAAGCGGAAGTTGTTGGTGGGTTGAAACTGGTAACCGTTGGAGCTGCTTCTGGGAGGAGGGTGCTTCTCTGACCTGCCACGTGGAATGCTCTCCAGCATGCCACGTGGAGAAGATTTGTTGGCAGCTGATTGGACTGGCAGGAGGGCGTTGCCCATGGGCTCAGATGTCGAAACGAGAGACGGATGCTGTCGCTGCTGCTGCCGCTGCTGCCGCTGATGGTGGTGGTCGTGCTGCTGCTGGTGCTGGTGTGGTGCTTGTCTAGATGAAGCGAGTGAGGCAGATAACACAGACGATGACGAATACAAGGAGAGCGATACACGCGCTGCTCCTGCTGCTCCTGCTGCTCCTGCTCCTGCTGGTGTTACTGCAGCTGCTGAAGCTGATGCATGTGCAGGCTGTTGACCAATCATCTGCGTGCGTGTATGACGCACCACCAGACGCGCCGCTCCAATCGGCCATCTCCCGCCCAGCAAATGCTGCGACCCGCCTGAATCATCACCACCAGAAGTCCCACCTGACTTTCCACCTGAACCCCCAACAGAAGTTGCACCTGAAATCTCAGCTGCAGTAGAATTAGCCGTACCTCGTGCGGCTTTATGTGAAGGGCTGGAGCTTGCTGATGATATCTTGCCATTGTAGGAGTCCCCATGATAAGTGTCCGTACGGGAACCTGTTGCCACGTGTCCTTGTTTCCTGCCAGCTTGGCAGTTACTGGAAGGGCTGCTTTGGGTGCTGTGGCTGTGCTGCGGGCTGCTGCGGTTGCTGTAGCGGCCGCTGCCGTGTTGGGGGCTGCTGAGCTTGAGCAGGGGTCTGTGGTTGTGACTACAGCGGGGGCTGCTGTTATTCTCAGCACCGGCCCAAGCAGCAGCTGGAGCAGTGAAAGCATACCCCGTTATAGTGGACCCGACATTGCCATTAGGAGATGTGTTCTCGCCAGAGCTGAACTGCTGGCTGAAAGTGCGACGCGGCGTCACGAGGACGCGCTCTGACGCAACGTCCTTGCTTCCCCACCTCGGACTGCTGTTACCCGCTCCGCTCTTGACGCCGTTGCTGACGCCGCTGTTGACGCCGCTGTTGACGCCGCTGTTGACGCCGCTGTTGACGCCGTTGCTGACGCCGCTGTTGACGCCGCTGTTGACGCCGCTGTTGACGCTGCTGCACGTGGGAACGCTGCTGACACAGCGGCGGTGGAACGGGGAACGATTAATCTTAGCAGATGCTGCTGACGTTGCCGCTGCTGCTGGGGGCGACTTTTGAGGTGCCTCGAAATAACTCTTAGCTGATGCTGGCGACGTTGCCGCTGCTGCTGCGGGCGGAGCAGGTATGCCCGGCGCAGGCCGCGGGGTTCGGGTCGGAAACGACGTGGAAGATTCGTCTGCTGCTTCTTTGCGATGCGAGTAACGGGGGAAAAGCGAGTCGGAGAAATCATCGACCGGCATGACACCGTGACTGCCAACAGTAGTAGTTGCTCTACTGGCTGGGAACGGAATGGCAGAAGCACCAATGCTGGAGCTACGATGACGACGATGAAGCGTCTTCTTGGGATCGAACGGCGTAAAGTGGCTCGAGTCGGGCGACTGTGCGAGCATGGCGACGGATCTTGTGGGTAGCTGGAGCTCCCAAGGGTTTGAGAATGTCATTCTGAGAGCTCGCGGCACGACCTCTGTGTGAGAAAGTCGCGTCACGGACAGACACACGGAATAGGTTTCGACTTAAAGAAACGAGGCCTGCTAGGGCATGATTTCGCACAGACCTGTCGCGGGTCATGAGTAGTAGTCGTACCAATCACTGGGAACAGTTTGTGCTCCAACGGAGCGTCGAAGTTCGAAGCGAGCACTATGTGTTGTGGAGCTACAAGATATTTTTCGAAGCCGCAGCCCGCGGTAACTCTTTTGCTGCATTCGGCGCTTCGACGGGTTCGTGAGGGGGGATCATCCAGCCCCCCACCGATGCACCATAGATAGCACATGGGTCCCAACGTGCCCTACTTTCTTCCCCGCCCGCTGAATTGCCGCTTGCTACATCTGATCTGATGTGTACAAAGGCGGTGAACCGACGCGCCGCAGCAGCCATCTCAGCAGTCCCCACAGTCCCCGAGATTTACACGCGGGAAGCTTTGTTCGCCAGCCAGCCCGACCAATTCAGTTCAGTCAGACTAGGAAGGCTCGGAAAACCCGGAAGATTATATTCTCGCTCGCTTACATCGAGTAGTGAACGGACGAGATCCGAGCGATAATGTTAGAGGGTGTCCCGAAGTGGACGTCGACATCATTTGATAAACGTCGAGGGATGTCGAGGAATGTCAATCGTCCAATCCCTCCATCCGAGGGTTGACATTGTCCACATTTCTCGACATTTGTCGAGGGATGTCGACGTTGCTCTATGCTGCCACTTCATCTTGGGCAGAATACGGTCGCACTGGGAGTTTCTAGAGATCAAGGCCTTGTGCAGAGGGGACTATGGCGGCCTGTGTTAGGGCTAGGAGCAAGCGCAAGATTCGGGACGGGAACCAGGTGTGTTTGGCGGGCTCGCTGCTTAGTCGCCGCCACAGTATGCCGCCCACTGGTTTAGTCCGTCCGTAACAGAAGCAATTGCAGGCGAAGCCTGTGGATGTGCTTGCCGTGTGCTGCGAACAGTTCACGCCGCTTGTTATGGTACCCCCCAGCAGATTCTGGCGGTGATCACGTGGTTCGGTGAACAGCATTGTGGAACCCTGGGAAGGAGAAATCCGGTTTGCAGAACTGATGCCAGCTGGTTGGATGGTTGAGTACGATTTTGTGCTTTCTACAGCGGTTTGCTTATTTACAAGCAAGTAGATACACCTCGACAGCGATAAAGCGACACGTAGAGGGAATCGACAGTTCCCCCTCGCACTCGCACACCATTTGAACCCCACCACATACAGGTTTTAAGGAAAATCCTTATTTGCAGGTTGACGATTTGTGTAATAAACAAGAGTTACAGCTTGTTCATCTCCAGATTTCCACAAGCTCCTTTACTACTCCAATCCAATCACTCTTCTGCTAACATCAGCAGTTATATTTGTGAACATGTGACAAGTTTCACCAGAAAAACCAGCAAAGCAAACCATAAAAAACCACACCAGAGCTTTGAATATGCTCTGGAAAACGGGGATCGAAACACAAGGTGGATGGTTAAGAAATGTGCTCAACCTCCCCCTTAAACGTTACTTTCTTGCCAAGATGCCTCAAGAATCTGCGCGGCGGCTTCAGCGCCCATCTGCCAGCGTGCTGGTGCTCTCCCCCATGCCCATGCTTGAGCCCATGACCATTCTCACGCCTATGGGAAGCCTCTTCCCATGACTCTGCCTGGTACCATGCTCTTGCTCATGTTTATACAGGCGTGTACTCTCACGCTGATAATGACGGGAAAAATGTGCCGCTTTTTCTGCAACCTCAGCCGTATGAACGCCGTGACCCTGCCTACTGGCCTTTCTGCCACCCATCCTTGGGTCATCCCCTGAACCCATTGACCCTGTTGACTGAGCAGACCCCTTTGACCTGTTTGAACCTATTGACCCGTTTGACCCATAAGCCTCTGCTGACTGGCACTCAAGCTCCCCCTTCTTGAGCCCAGTGCTCCTCTTAGAGCTGTACGCAAGTCCTTCTGCATCCCACGGGTTGCGCGGCTGCTGCTGCTGCTGCTGCTTCACACTCACACTCGCCCAGCTCTGGGACCTCCTGTGACGGGGAGCCCGAGACTCAGACGATGGCAAAGCACTGTTGCCCGTGTTCGCACCACTGGTAACGCTGCTGATGCTGACAGGTGTGACAGCGCCGCTGACAGGTGTGACAGCGCCGTCGCTATCGGTGGAATACCAGGGGAAACCACTGCTGATGCTGCTCGCGATGCTGCTCAGGCTGAAGCTGCTGCTTCTTCGCCAGGACCTACTCTCCCTACTCTTACAACTCCCCTTACAACTCCCCTTACAACTCCCCTTACAACTCCCCTTACAACTCCCCTTACAACTCCCCTTACAACTCCCCTTACAACTCCCCTTACAACTCCCCTTACAACTCCCCTTACAACTCCCCTTACAACTCCCCTTACAACTCCCCTTACAACTCCCCTTACAACTCCCCTTACAACTCCCCTTACAACTCCCCTTACAACTCCCCTTACAACTCCCCTTACAACTCCCCTTACAACTCCCCTTACAACTCCCCTTACAACTCCCCTTACAACTCCCCTTACAACTCCCCTTACAACTCCCCTTACAACTCCCCTTACAACTCCCCTTACAACTCCCCTTACAACTCCCCTTACAACTCCCCTTACAACTCCCCTTACAACTCCCCTTACAACTCCCCTTACAACTCCCCTTACAACTCCCCTTACAACTCCCCTTACAACTCCCTTACAACTCCCCTTACAACTCCCCTTACAACTCCCCTTACAACTCCCCTTACAACTCCCCTTACAACTCCCCTTACAACTCCCCTTACAACTCCCCTTACAACTCCCCTTACAACTCCCCTTACAACTCCCCTTACAACTCCCCTTACAACTCCCCTTACAACTCCCCTTACAACTCCCCTTACAACTCCCCTTACAACTCCCCTTACAACTCCCCTTACAACTCCCCTTACAACTCCCCTTACAACTCCCCTTACAACTCCCCTTACAACTCCCCTTACAACTCCCCTTACAACTCCCCTTACAACTCCCCTTACAACTCCCCTTACAACTCCCCTTACAACTCCCCTTACAACTCCCCTTACAACTCCCCTTACAACTCCCCTTACAACTCCCCTTACAACTCCCCTTACAACTCCCCTTACAACTCCCCTTACAACTCCCCTTACAACTCCCCTTACAACTCCCCTTACAACTCCCCTTACAACTCCCCTTACAACTCCCCTTACAACTCCCCTTACAACTCCCCTTACAACTCCCCTTACAACTCCCCTTACAACTCCCCTTACAACTCCCCTTACAACTCCCCTTACAACTCCCCTTACAACTCCCCTTACAACTCCCCTTACAACTCCCCTTACAACTCCCCTTACAACTCCCCTTACAACTCCCCTTACAACTCCCCTTACTCCCCTTACAACTCCCCTTACAACTCCCCTTACAACTCCCCTTACAACTCCCCTTACAACTCCCCTTACAACTCCCCTTACAACTCCCCTTACAACTCCCCTTACAACTCCCCTTACAACTCCCCTTACAACTCCCCTTACAACTCCCCTTACAACTCCCCTTACAACTCCCCTTACAACTCCCCTTACAACTCCCCTTACAACTCCCCTTACAACTCCCCCTTACAACTCCCCTTACAACTCCCCTTACAACTCCCCTTACAACTCCCCTTACAACTCCCCTTACAACTCCCCTTACAACTCCCCTACAACTCCCCTTACAACTCCCCTTACAACTCCCCTTACAACTCCCTTACAACTCCCCTTACAACTCCCCTTACAACTCCCCTTACAACTCCCCTTACAACTCCCCTTACAACTCCCCTTACAACTCCCCTTACAACTCCCCTTACAACTCCCCTTACAACTCCCCTTACAACTCCCCTTACCACTCCCCTTACCGCTCCCTTACACCGCTCCCCTACCACCGCTCCCCTTACCGCTCCCTTACCGCTCCCCTTACCGCTCCCCTTACCGCTACCCCCCCTTACGCTCCCTTACCGCTCCCCTTAAACTCCCCCCTACCCTCCCCTTACCGCTCCCCTTACCCTACCGCTCCCCTTACCACCAGCTCCCCCCCTTACCGCTCCCCTTACCTACCGCTCCCCTTACCGCTCCCCTTACCGCGCTCCCCTTACCTACCGCTCCCCCTTACCGCTCCCCTTACCCTCCCCTTACCGCTCCCCTTACCGCTCCCCTTACCGCTCCCCTTACCGCTCCCCCCCCCCTTACCGCTTCCCCTTCCCACCGCTACCGCTCCCCTTACCGCTCCCCTTACCGCTCCCCTTACCGCTCCCCTTACCGCTCCCCTTACCGCTCCCCTTACCGCTCCCCTTACCGCTCCCCTTAACCGCTCCCCTTACCGCTCCCCTTACCGCTCCCCTTACCGCTCCCCTTACCGCTACCGCTCCCCTTACCCCGCTCCCTTACCGCTCCCCCCCCTTACCGCTCCCCTTACCGCTCCCCTTACCGCTCCCTTACCGCTCCCCCTTACCGCTCCCCTTACCGCTCCCCTTACCAACCGCTCCCCTTACCGCCCCCTTACCGCTCCCCTTACCGCTCCCCTTACCGCTCCCCTTTACCCTCCCCTTACCGCTCCCCTTAATACCGCTCCCTTATACCGCTCCCCTTACCGCTCCGCTTCCCCTTACCCTCTCCCTTACCGCTCCCCTTACCGCTCCCCTTACCGCTCCCCTTACCGCTCCCTTACCTAACCGCTCCCTTACCGCTCCCCTTACCGCTCCCCTTACCGCTCCCCTTACCGCTCCCCTTACCGCTCCCCTACCGCTCCCCTTACCGCTCCCCTTACCGCTCCCCTTACGCTCCCCTTACCGCTCCCTTACCGCTCCCCTTACCGCTCCCCTTACCGCCTACCACCGCTCCCCTTACCGCTCCCCTTACCCGCTACCGCGTCCCCTTACCGCTCCTCCCCTTACCGCTCCCCTTACCGCTCCCCTTACCGCTCCCCTTACCGCTCCCCTTACCGCCCCTTACCGCTCCCCTTACCGCTCCCCTTACCACCGCTCCCCTTACCGCTCCCCTACCGCTCCCCTTACCGCTCCCTTACCGCTCCCCTTACCGCTCCCGTCCGCTCCCCTACCGCTCCCCTTACCTACCCCCCCCTTACCCGCTCCCCTTACCGCTCCCCTTTCCGCTCCCCTTACCGCTCCCCTACCTTACCGCTCCCCTTACCCGCTCCCCTTACCGCTCCCCTTACCCCGCCTCCCCTCACCGCTCCCCTCACCGCTCCCTCCACCGCTCCCCCTCACCGCTCCCCTCACCGCTCCCTCACCGCTCCCCTCACCGCTCCCCTCACCGCTCCCCTCACCGCTCCCCTCACCGCTCCCCTCACCGCTCCCCTCACCGCTCCCCTCACCGCTCCCCTCACCGCTCCCCTCACCGCTCCCCTCACCGCTCCCCTCACCGCTCCCCTCACCGCTTCCCTCACCGCTTCCCTCACCGCTCCCTCACCGCTTCCCTCACCGCTTCCCTCACCGCTTCCCCTTACCACTCCCCTTACCACTCCCCTTACCGCTCCCCTTACCACTCCCCAGTTCACTCCACTGTTCACTCTCCTCTTCATCCCTTTCATCCCCTTCCTCCCCTTCACCATCACCCGCCTCACCATCCACTCCTCCTCCCGCCTTCCCGCTGCCATTCCCGCTGCTAATACTCCGCCTCAGCCGCCGCGCCCACCGTCCTCCAAGGCTGCCGCTGATGCTGGTTAGGATACTGCTGGCCAGAGACAAGCTGCTTCCGACAGTCAAGCTGCGCCTTGAATTCCGCTGCGCCCGACCCTCCTCCTGAGGAACCGATTTTTGGGTTGACTCAATCTCAGAAATCTCCTTCTGAGGAGCCTCCTCCGCCTGCGCTGCCACGGCCTTTCTTGCTCTCCTCGCATCCCTCCTCGCCCTCCTTTCCATCCTCTCATCAATCCTCTCTGTTCCCTCCACCCTTCCTGTCTCTGTGGCGGCACGGGCCGGCACAGCCCTCTCCGAAGCAGCAGCAGCAGGCAGGTTGGGATTGGGAACCTCATGGGAGGCCATCTGCTGTGCTATGCTGACCAGCACACACCTCTGTGCTGTGCTGGCTGGAAGCACCCTGCTGCGAGATTCGCCGGCCGTGCTGCCAGCAGTGCCGCCGCCGGTCGCTTGAGCGCCGTTTCCGTTCCAGCTGGCTTTGCGATCCTCGTTGCTGCTCGCAGCAGCACGGCTGTCTGCCACAGCGTGCGACGAGGCAGATCGGATCTTCATGCTGCCAGTGTCACTACGATTCTCCATGCCCGCACCACACTGCTCCACCACCCCAGCATGCACCTTCATACTATCAGCGCGGCTCTCCAAGCCGCCAGCGCAAGCCTTCATGCTGCCGGCACAAGCACGGCTGCGCACCACAGCAGCATAGAGCCCAATGAAATCATCGTCTGAGTCGCTTGACTCGCCACCGCCGCCCCCCGCGACAACGCTGCCTTCCGCCCACTCCTGCCCCTTGCGCTCCTGCCCCTTGTGCTGCTGCCGCGGCTGCTGATGCCCCTTGTGCTGCATTGCCTCCTCCTCCTTGTCCTTGTGCGACCCGAGGGAGCAAGCCGGGTGCTTCACAGCGCTGCTGCGGCTGCGGCCGTGAGAAGGCGAGGCGCCGGAAGGGGAGGAAGCCGCTTGACCCGTTTGACCCGTTTGACCCGGAAGATCAAGAGGAGACAGGTGTCGTGGGCGAATGGAGTGACCCAGTTGACCCAGTTGACCCGGGTGGCCTGGGTGAGTGGTGTGGGCGTGCACTGCAGCGGAGTGCGAGAGGGTTTTTTTGTGCCCCCTGGATGGTGACGGGACCGTTTGACCCAGTTGACTTGTTTGACTCGGAATCTCAACACGAGGCAAGTACTTGGTGTGACAGCTGGTGAAGTGCGGTGCAGCGGAGTGCGGTGCAGCGGAGTGCGGTGCAGCAGAGTGCGACCGGGATCTCTTGTGGGTTGGTAGCTGCTGCTGCTTCCTAATTAAGCCACTTCCTTGGCGCGCAGGTGGTGGGAGAGACGCGCCGGGTCGGTCGTCCCTCGACGGGACAGCATGCGGGGCGTGCGGAGAAGCAGCAGAGCCGTGCTGAGCAGCAGCAGAGCCGTGGCGAGCGGTAGAAGAGGCAGAATGAGGGGCGTGCAGCGCAGAGGCAGGGCTGCACGGCTCGTCCCACTGGCAAGCGCGCTGGCCGCTGCTGCTGTTGCTGCTCAAGGCCACAACAGGGAAGCGATTCCCCGCGCTGCTGCTGCGAGACATGATCGCCGCATCATCCCACGCAACCCCGTGAGAAGAGGGGTCGGTCGCAATGCTGTCGCACTCCCAGTTATTGTCCCACGCGGCATCGTTTGCATGGCTCGCACCAAGCGGGTCAGTTAGTTCGTGGGAAGAGCGCGGAGCACACGTGGCGGCGCCCCATTCGTCCAGATCCACTGACGCGAATCGCCTGGACCAGCCAGGCTCGGAGGCCGGGGATCGGACGGATCTTCCCGAACCTCCGAATCGCGGTCCCCAAGCCGCGTCGTCTGCATCCTCCTCATGGCATTTTGGCTCGTGACATTTCGGCGCCATGGATAGTATTGGGGGCGACTTTGACGCGTACATGCTCTTGCTTCTGGTGATGGAGCTGCTAGTAACGAGACTGTTACTACCGGGGCTGATCCTGCCGGAAGCGGGTCCACGTGGGCTCCTTCTCAGCACGCCACGTGGCGACGATGTGCTGGCAGGCGAGGGCGGCGGCAGGGGGGCAACGGCACTCCTAGTAGTGGTGCCGCTGCCGTATCGCGGGCTGTCCTGTCCGCATTGACGGGTGAGATTGTTCTCTGGGGGTATGTGACCATACCGAGGGCTGTGACTGCCTCGAGAGATGTGACTGTATCGAGGGGAGCTGTGACTATCAACAGGGTTTCCGCTTCCCCCTGCACCACCAGCAGCAGCCCAAGCCGCGGCGGGAGCTGTATGCGGATACATCACCGTGGGAGGTGCCACGTCAGCAAGACAAGGAGGGCTCGGGGGTGTCCTGAAGTGCAGGCTGCTCTTGCTGCAGCCACATAGCATAGCGCGTACAGGCGAGCCCAGATCCGAGTTGCTGCTGACGTGGCTGCTGACGTGGTTGCTGGAGGGGATGCCTACGCTTTGGGTCCTGCGGTGGTGCAGACGAACGCTCCTTGAAGCTTCTGGATCCGGAATCTGCAGGCTCCGCGGAGATCCCGCTGCCAGCGTGGCGGCTGCTGGAGATCGCCGCGGGCTCTCCACGTGGCAGGCGAGCTGCGGCCTCGAGTCGCGCCGCAGCGACCCCTGCCGCTCGTTCCGCAATGCCCCTCCCGATCCGGCGCTACTGCTCTCCGCGGCCTCCGCCGCCGCCAACGGTGCCGGTGCAGGTGGCGCGTCGCGGCTGCTGACGCAGCGAACAAGGTCTGGGATCATTCTTGACGTCGGAACCGCCGCAGATTCAGAAAACACTAAGAGCGCTTCCGCCATGGCAGCAGAGGCAGCAGCAGCAGCAGCAGCAGCAGCAGCAGCAGCAGCAGCAGCAGCAGCAGCAGCAGCAGCAGCAGCAGCAGCAGCAGCAGCAGCAGCAGCAGCAGCAGCAGCAGCAGCAGCAGCAGCAGCAGCAGCAGCAGCAGCAGCAGCAGCAGCAGCAGCAGCAGCAGCAGCAGCAGCAGCAGCAGCAGCAGCAGCAGCAGCAGCAGCAGCAGCAGCAGCAGCAGCAGCAGCAGCAGCAGCAGCAGCAGCAGCAGCAGCAGCAGCAGCAGCAGCAGCAGCAGCAGCAGCAGCAGCAGCAGCAGCAGCAGCAGCAGCAGCAGCAGCAGCAGCAGCAGCAGCAGCAGCAGCAGCAGCAGCAGCAGCAGCAGCAGCAGCAGCAGCAGCAGCAGCAGCAGCAGCAGCAGCAGCAGCAGCAGCAGCAGCAGCAGCAGCAGCAGCAGCAGCAGCAGCAGCAGCAGCAGCAGCAGCAGCAGCAGCAGCAGCAGCAGCAGCAGCAGCAGCAGCAGCAGCAGCAGCAGCAGCAGTCTCGTCCGATGCACGCCGGGTAACAATCCCGTACCTTGATAGATACTGCGGCGGCTCGAGAAGCAATTTTTTTTAACCACCACTCGTCGTGATGATGTCAGTCGTTCGCCGTTCAAGTACTAAGGAGATCCAGAAACAGTGAAGAGAGGCTCGACTTGAGGAGAGAAATGCGCGTCTTAGGCAGACCAAGAGGGGTAGCTCGCGACTCGCCGGAAATTTTCGGAAAGAGCCGACGGTACAGCTCTTGGCGAGCTACCGTAGCGAGTGACACTAGCGGGGATGAGCCGCCTGCATTGCTCCGTAAGAATCCCTTTCTTAGGATTGCTAACACGACGCTACTTGAAAGCCAGTCACAGCGACCTCACTAACCTTCTCCGACTCGAGTCCGAACAGAAGCGAGGAAGGGAATCTGGTCTCAGTCACAAGGGACACTCTCAGAGTCGGAGTGTAGTCTACGGTGGGAACTCTAGTCAGGGAGCCAGGCCAGTGGGAGGTGCCTTTGTACGAAGAACACCCAGCTGGGAGCTGAGCGAAGGAGACGCGGAGATGTGAGCCAGGAAGAATTGGAAGGCACGGCGGAAGAACGACTGCTGGCAGCGACTAGGTCTCTTCCCGGATGCAGCAAAGCAGCAGCGACGGCCATGGAAATTTGGCTCCGCGAGCTGGCAGACCGAGACTGTTTTCCGGAATTCACGGGCTGGATCTCGGACGAGATTCACTCATCTACAGCATACATGAAATAGAACGTCGGAACGAAAGGTGTTCCTGAGGCCGCGCATGGAAAGGCGAGACATGCCGCGAGCAAGCATGCCATAGTGTACTATCTTCCATTCCATCCATTTTCCATGGCCCGCCTGTCTGACATTATTCCGAAGCAGCACTGCTCTGTTTGCGGTCACCATGCTTCGGAAGGAGACAGTAATGGCAAGACGACACCAGATGCCATCGGAACATCTCGAGCCGCATACGTTTACCGACAAACCTGTATGGTGGCGAACCGCTGGTTGATCCGTACTTGGAGACAAGATGAATTCCAACTGGACTAGCTGGCGCCGAGCTTTTTTCCAGGATGCGCGACCGCGTTATCCGTGACATGTTTCGGCTAAGAAGCGAACACGTCGGTTGCAAGCTTCGGTTCTTTTCGACGTGTCTATCTGGAACGAAAAAGATATGCTTCCCCTTGGGATGTGCACACTCTGATCTGGCTGCCAAGCTGGAGGGTAACACGGTTAGGTACAATGCAATGTACATAGTTAGGGCGGGGGTAGCGCGTTCATTTTCGCCACTTGTACAAAATTTTGACACCCGTCGAATCTGGAGGTTACTGTAGCTTTTTTGTACCGCGCTTAGTTTGTGTCCCAGGTGGGACACGCGCGTCCAAAATCCGGCACAGGACCCGCCACATTTTTGCCAAACCGCCTACCCAACAAGGTAACCCTGTGCCCCCGAATTGAAGGTGGCGCTGTATGAATCTATATTTGTGAACCCTTGGATTTGCGAGGGTCGTACGCGCTTGACGAAGTCGTGGTGCGGTTTCGCTGACGTTTTCAAGGGCTTTCTCAAATGATGCGCGGGTTGTTCGCGGACGTTGTGGGAACGTGTTTTGTTCGATTGACGGCACGGAAAACAGCCACCGTTCATCCACTGTATACTCCGTCGTGTCCACAGGTTACCCTAAATCGGGGTTACAAACCCCTGAATCTGGTAACTGTTTCGGGCTAAGCCAGGAAAATGAACGCGCTGCCCCCGCCCTTAAAGAGCCTACTATCGTACATTCTGAACAGCGTCCGAGCTTATGTCCGTGCGTGTGCAATAAATATAAGTCGAGGAGCACTGAGGAGGAACAGATCAGAACTGAGGTACGATTCGATCTCAGGACGACGAAATGGGAGAGATACGACTGTATGAAGTCTCGATTTGGATGGCAAGCTTGGTGTACAGAAAGCAGCAACAGCAGCACAGCAACCTCACTTTCCCATCCCACGGGGGCAGTTCCAAGGTTTGCCTCAAGAGCAGTTCCGCAACACTGTACAGTGAACTTCGATACAGTACAAGAGCTCTGCAGAATGATTGCGGTGGAACTGTACAAGGGTTACGCTGAAAGTACCTCAGAAAGTACCCTAGAGGTTTCACAGAGCTTCGCAATAACGAACTGTTAACGACTGTACTATTTTCTGTAAGAAATACACTGTACAGCACTTCATTTTAGGTTAGGTTAGCAAATGTGCCAATCAACCTTGGGCAAGTTCCAGGGTGGCAGATTTGATGACGTGTCAAGCTTATTGATTGATTGAGGGATGCCGCGCGGTAGCGTACCGAGCCCAGCCTCCGCCTCGGTCCGAGCCTGGCCATGTTTTGTTCTTGCTTAAGAATACTCGGTAGCACAAACTCGTTTCCATAATGTCGCTAGTCAATTCACAGAATTACTCAAGTTTAACGGGTAGTGAAATCACTATCAAAGCCGATCCGTTGCGCTACCGAAGCTGCTTTGGATGAGACCTATCCCAGTTTGACCGTTTCCCTCCGCTTTAGCCGCCTCATAGAACAGGGTTCATCCGCTCTTCTGTTTCGCTTTTCTTCTCAATGCTCTTCCCCAACTAGTGCCTGGGCGTCCTCTGGTGAACTACACGATCAAGCAGCATCCATCGCCGTGCCTGCTGCCTTTTCGCTCCGTTGTCCATCGCGGATGTTTTAACTCGGAGTCACGTGCCACTTTGTACTCCAATGGCAACTTCACGGACCGTGTCTTTTGCCACGTGGCAACAGGATGTCATCAACAGGTCATCCATTACCGTCCGCGTTACCGCGAGGCCGTCTATCCAGCCGCTTTCCCCAACAGGCCGTTCAGCAGGGTTGAAACTGACGAGCTGTCTCCGCAATGCCCGCGGTGTGGTCACAATAGCAGGCTTACGCCGACCTGGTATGTACATTAGGTCACCACGAAATAACCAGCAGTTACATCCCGGCTATTTATCCCCACGATTCTCGCGACATTCTCCAAAATTTATCCTGCGAGCAGGCAGTTTCCGCCTAAGCAACGGGAAGAAATCGCGGCCGTTGGTGATCCAAGCGGCGGCTGGTGGACCGTCCGATTTCAGCGGCTCCGATGTCAGCAATAAAGACCAGCCAGATAGCCGTTTTCGCTCGGCGGACAATGCTGTTAACAGGAAGAACCTTAACGGGTCAAACATTCCGAAAATTGCCGGCATTGCTGGTGCTTCAGGAGCTGATAACGGGTTTCCAGCTGATTTCTGCCATCCGCGCGCTTCCCCCGATCGTTCCGCCGCACTCGCGCGCTGCAGGGGGAAGCGGAAACGGACAGACGGGGACCCCGCGGGACGAGAGGCGCGCGGGGACGTACCCGCGGATGCTCCGCGCGGTTACCGCCAGTGAGGGGGAGGCGGACGGGAAGAGGGAGGGGGAAGGGGGGTTGTTGGCGCAAAGCGGTCAGGAGAGTCTTCACATGGAGGCGGAATGGCCAATCGCGTGGTGCCAGGTGGCAGAGAACGTACTCATAGGCTCGCCGCTCGTGTCGGCTGCTGACGTGGACGTGGTGACGTCCAGGGCGGGCGTGACAGCTGTCGTCTCGTTACTGGTTGGTGATGCTGGTGGTCTGATCATGTTTCTGTGTCACTAATGAACTCACTTTTTTCACATTTCTCGCTCTCTCGCTCCCCACTTTCCTCTCACTCCAATACTCCCCAATATCCTCACTTGTTCCTTCTCTAACTCTCACCCACTCGCTCCCGTGCTCTTCCCTTCCCCCCTCCACGCTCCTCCCCTCTCCCCGCTTCTCCCCTTTTCCCCCCCTCTTTTTCCCCTCTCCTCCTCCCTCCGCGCCTTCCCAACCCCCGCCAATCACAGCCGTCGGAGCATGAGTCAGCGCTGGCCGTTGATTGGTCCGCCGTGACCCACCAGCTGGCAAGAGAGGGCGGCGTGGCGCTCAAACTGCCCGTGGGGGAAGCCGCCGCCGGGGGGGAGGCGGAAGCGGGGGCTCGGGGGGAGGGGGAACCGGGGGAGGGGTGGCGGGGAGTGTTATCCGAGGGGGAAGCGGGGGAGTCGGATATGGAAGTGTGCCTGGAGGAGGACGGGGAGGGGGAGGGGGGAGAGGACGTGGTTTCACAGGTGTTGGAAGCGGTGCGAGTGGTGGCAGCGCTGGTGGCAACGGGGCACAGAGTAGCGATTGTCAGCTGCTCGCCTCATTCCGCCAGTGCCCTCGTTGCTCTGGGGTAATAATACCCTCAGCTTCCTTGTTTCACTTGAATGGTTTATCTTGTGTAGCTTTCTCTGCTCACTTGGCACTTTCGCAGCCCCCAACACCCCCTCCACTCCCACCCCCACCCCCACGGTCACACCTTCTTGCTCCCCGCCCCATTCCCCTGCTGTTGTTCTGTTCCTCCCCCCCCCTCGCTCTTTGCCTCTCCCTCTTACGCATTGCTACTTCCGCACCTGCTCGTCTTTCGAATCCTTCCTTCCCCTTTCAAAGCTCCACGCTTCGTCTCTCTTCCTCATGGTCCACTTCCTGTCTCATTCGTTTCACCACCTGTCTTCTTTTGCCACGTCTCCCCTAAAGACACGTGTCTCCTTGTGCCACATCTGTCCGTGTGCCACGTGTCTCTTGTTGCCACGTGGCTGCCAGCTACACCACGTTCGTGAGGGGCGCGGACGTGAGCACTGCTCTGGCGGACATGCGCCGAGCCTGTCCGGCTGCTGACCCGCCCATGCGCGTCTGGAAGAAGGTGCGTGGCGTTACAGGTGCACTCTCAGGTGCCTTCTCAGGTGCCTTCTCAGGTGCCATCGCAGGTACATTCTCAGGTGGGTTGCCAGGGGTATGGCAATGGCTCATGGACGTGCCTCCAGCTGTCTGTTTCCAGCATCAGTTAACTTCTATATGTGCTTTCATGCTCGTATGTGTGTGTGCATGCATATGCAACTGTGTGCATATGGGTTCGCGTGTGTGCATGTGCGTGGTTGTGTGCGCGCGTATGCTGCATGCATGTCCATGCTTTTGTATGCATGTGTATGCATGTGTTCGCATGTGTATGCACGTGTATGCATGTGTCTGCATGTGTATGCACGTGTATGCATGTACGCGTGTGTATGTGTGTTTTGGCGAATGCATATCCACAGGCCCACGCGCAGCTAGCGGGCAGCAACATGAGGCGTCTTACAGACCTTGCAGCGGAGGAGCTTCAAAGGAGGATAGCTAACGGCGTGCCTGGGTCCAGTGCCAATGACTGGCAGGTCGGCCCCCACTGCACCGCACCACACCGCGCCCCCCCCCCTTCCTCCCCCCCCCCCCTATATTGTTTTCGCTCTGTGACTCTATGTTGCTCCGCATGATTGGATCTCTTTCAGTGGCGTCGTTTGCTTCGAGATCATCCCCGCTTTGCATGATTTCTGCTCCGCTCCCATTTCTGCCCAATCGCATGCTGCCAGGTGGCAGAGCGTAAGCTGGTGGCGGAAGGCTTCCAGCGCATGGTGGCTGCTGACGTGGCACTCTCTGACGCCATTTCCAAGGTGCGTATTGATCCATGCATGCGTGTGTTGATCCATGCATGCATGTGTTGATCCATGCATGTGTGCGATTAATTGGCACTGTTATGTCCCACCTGACCACTCCGCTGTGTCTCTCCTGATCCTTTTCTGCAATCATACACACTTCCACATACACACTTCCACATACACACTTCCACATACACACTCACATACATATATCCCATGCTCCCTGCCATGCCATGCCATGCCATGCCACTCCTCTTTCTCTCTGCAGGCGGCCATTCGCAGGGCAGCACGGGCGGCAGAGAAGCAGATGGATGACGTGGAGGTGAGTGCTGGATAAACCCTGCCTTGCCCTTCTTCCCCGCCTCCCCCGCCCTCCCCCGCCCTCCCTCTCTCTCCCCAACCCTCCCCCACCTCCTTCGCCCTCCCCCACCCTGTTGTGTCTTGCTGCTCGACTTTTCCTCCACGTGTCTATCTCCATCCATCCTCCTTCCCACATCCTCTTTTCCGCAGCGTGTGTCACTTTTGAGAATTCTCAAAAGTGATCTCAAAAGAGAATTCTCAAAAGTCTTTTCCGCAGCGTGTGTCCATTCTCTAGGCCCGAGAACATAGTCCCTTTGCTCTTTTCTTCCTTGTTGCCACATGTCACATGCTCGCCACGCCATGCCCACAGCTCACCTCATCCTCTGGTTGGTCCCTTGAACATAGACTCGTACTCACCTCATCCCCTTGCTCTCCTGTTCCTTGCTTCCACATGTCACATGTGCCCCCTGCCCCACATGCCCCTTGCCTTGCCGTCAGCTCACCTCGTCCGATCGTATTGCTTTGCTCAAAGCTCAAATTTCTCGTCTCGAAGAGAAGCAGCAAGCCGCAGACCAGGCCGCCCGGGCGGCGGAGGATCGGATCAACTTCTTCCTGCGCCAGCTCAGCGCACTACAGGACAAACACGCTGCGGCAGAGAAGGAGGCGGCTGCTGCCACCCAGCTGGCAAGTCAACTCGCCGGCCAGTTGCAATCCTTGCAAGCGAGAGAAGCTTCCTCTGCACCTTCCTCTTCGGCTGTAGCCCAAGCCTCGCCTCTAGGTCCGGCAGCCGCCGAAGCTGACCGGGTGGCAGCTCTGGAAGCCGAGGTCCGGGAGAGGCGCGAGCGGGAGCAGGAGCTCCGGGCGGCGCAGCAGCAGGCAGAGCAGCGGGCGGCATCGGCTCGGCAGCTTCTGCTCACTCTAGAAAAAGACCTGGCGAGGGTGACAGAGGGGGAGGCAGCAGCAAAAGAAGCAGCAGCAGAAGCGAAAGAACGAGTAGGGTTCCTATCAGGTGTGGTGCGAGAGCTAGAAGGCCGAGAGAGGGACGCGAGGAGAGAAGCAGAGAGGGCGAATGAGGCTTTAGAGGTGGTGGCAGCAAGGGAACGGGCGGCTCAGGCTCGTGTGCAGGAGCTTTCTTTGCAGGTGGAGCAGCTAGAAAAGGAGCTTGCTGCTGCTCAGGAAGCTTCCAGGATCGCGCACGGGCGGTGCGATTTCTTCGCCCGGCTGGTGGATGTGCTGAGGGAGAGGGAGCAGGCGGCTAGTGAGGCGGCGAAACGGGCCAATCAGGCGCTGACAGGTGTCGCGCGGGAGCTGGAGGAGGTGAAGGGGAGGGAGAGGCGGGAGAGGGAGACGTGGAAAGGTGCAGTGGCGCGGTCTGAAGCGGTAATGGCGGAGTTAGGAGCGACTAAGAGGATGCAAAGAGAGGCGAGGGAGAGGAGGGAAGCTGCCGAGAAGCTTCTCGTGAAGCTCGAGTCGTCGGGAGAGAGCGGGGAGGAAGGTTCGAGGAAGCTTCTGGTCCAGGCCCGTGCGGCGGTGGCTGAGGCTCTGGAGAACGAGGCGAGCCTCGCCGGACTGGTTGTTGCGCTAGCTGACAAATTGACTGAGGCGGCTGCCGCCCGCACGGCCCAGCGGGAGCGTTTGGCGTTTCTGGAGCGACAGGTGGCGGAGGGGAGGGAGAGGGAGCGGACGGCGGAAGAGGCTGTGGCAGCGGCAATGGGCGGGCAGGAGGAGCTTCGGAGGCAGTTGGAAGAAGTGGCTCGGAAAGAGGCTGAGGCCCGGGAGGAGGTTCGGGTGCTGTCGAGCAAAGTGGAGAGCCTGTCAGCTCAGGTTCGTAGTCTGAGGATAATGCTTGCTTATTTCTGAGTCGTCTCAGCAGTATATTCTGGGTTTAGCTGCTTGCTTACACTTAAAGTGGAGCGAATTTTGTGGGCGATGGAAATCGATGGATTTGTTTCCTCTCATTCCCTTCCCCGCTCCCACCCCTTTCCCCGTTCTCCCACACCCTCTTTTCCACAGTCGACGGTAGCAGAGGAGGTGGAGGGTTCTCTCTCCGTTCTCCGAGCCCAGGTGGCATTCCTCCAATCAGAGCTCGCCAGCGCGACACAGGAAGCCACGTCAGCCACCCAGCGGTCCACCTCGCTCCTTCACCAGCTCAACCAGCTGCGATCTGGTGCCAGCAGTGATGGCAGCGCAGGACAGGTGGCGGGTTCTGATTCGTTGGATGATGTTGCGGGGGAGGAGGAGGTGGTGAGGAGGTTGGAGGAGGAACTTTTAGCTGCCCGTGGGGCAGCAGAATCGGCCAATCAGAGGGTTTTTGTGCTGCAGGAGCAGGTGAAGGAGTTGCAAAGGAAAGAGGGAGTGGCCCAAGCGCTGCTAGGCCGGGCAGAGGAAAAGATGTCGGCGCTGTTTGGGCAGCTTGCGGCTGCCCGGGACAAAGACTCGACAAGCCTCCGCGCTCTCGCCAAGGCTAGGTCGGAGGTTCGGCAGATGGCGTGGCAAGTGGCTCGGCTGGAGGAGCAGCTACAGGCTCGGGGAAACACCGCAGGAGGGGTAGGGTTGGCAGCATTGGGAAGGGGAGAAGGTTGGGGATTGGCAGGGCTGCTGAATGGGTTAAGTGCGGGAACGCTGAAGCTGCTGGGGATGGCAGGATTGGGCGGAATGGGAGGGGCGGCAGGGGTGGACGGCGGGCAGAAAGAGCCGAATGCTGCCAGGCTGGCAGCTGAGCTGTCGCGAGGGGCTGCTGCTCTGCAGTCCAGGTGGGTTGTGTGCGGTCAATGCAGTCAATGCAGTCAGTGCAGTCAGTGCAGTCAATGGAGTCAATGCAGTCAATGCAGTCAATGCAGTCCACGCAGTCTATGCAGTCAATGCAGTCAATGTTGGTAGTAGAATGCACGTGTGGAATTAAAAGTAAGCCCGCCTGCTCTGGTCCCGGGTTTATTGCCGGCTTGCTTCATAACACTTGAATCCTTGTGCATGGCATGTGAGTGGCTTGCACATGTGCACGTGTATGGCATGTGCATGGGGTGTGCATGGCATGTGCATGGGGTCTGCATGGCATGTGCATGGGGTGTGCATGGCATGTGCATGGGGTGTGCATGGCATGTGCATGGGGTGTGCATGGCATGTGCATGGGGTGTGCATGGCATGTGCATGGGGTCTGCATGGCATGTGCATGGGGTGTGCATGTGGTGTGCATGGTATGCGCATGGCGTGTGTGTTTCGCGTGCATGGCATGTGCGTGTTTTGTGGCAACAGGGTGAAGAAGCACGTGTCTCGGCTGGGCAAGAATGCAGCAGCAGTGGATACAGCAGCATTGTCTTCGTTATCAGATCAGCCTATAGAGGAGCATTTCTCAGAGGTACGCCCTTTTCATACTCTCATCACCTCACCATTGAGTAATTTACTGGTATACCATCACCACCATTTTACTATCACCATCTACAGCATGCCCTTCACTGTTCGCGGATCAGCACATAGAGGAGCACTTGTGCACTGCCTACTGTTTTCAAAGGCTTCTGCCTATTGCCTGCCCTTGCTTTCTGTTAAAGCCTGACCCAAACATTTGTCTGCTGCTATTCTGTCTGCTGCTATTCTTCTGCTACAACTGCCCATTCCCCGTGTGCAGGAGGAGGAGAAGCTTCTGGCGTCAGCGTCGTGTCTGCGGGAAGCCGTGGTGGCAATAGATGCCAAACGCCATGAGCTGGGAGCCGCACCTCTTGCCGCCCGGGTTCCTTCCGCTTCCCGGGCGGCAGCGCCGCCTGCTACAGTGCCCGGAGCTTCAGCCACCCAGGTTTCAGGTCCGGCACCCACGGCAGCAACAGCAGCAGCAACAGCTGCTGTTGCACCTGTTGTGCCTGTTGTACCATCTGCTGCTGCTGCCGCTACCGCCGCCACAGCAGCAGCAGCAGCAGCAGCACAGACGTAGCAGCACCTGCAGCAGCTAGGACAGCTTCAGGGGATGCTATTGATTCAGGGAACCAGTGGCAGCAGGAGCAGCAGCAGGAGCAGCAGCAGCAGCAGCAGGAGCAGCAGCAGCAGCAGCAGGAGCAGCAGCAGGCAGAGGTGACTGGAGAGGGAGACAAGAGAGTGGGCACGCACAGAGAAGAGGTGAAAGAATCGCACGAGGAGAGCAGCGACTGCAGCAGCAGCAGCAGCAGCAGCAGCAGCAGCAGCCACACTTGCATCTCCCTCCTCCGCCTCAAACTCCTCCACTCCTCCCGCCTCCTCTTCCCCCTCTTCCGATCCCGCCTCTCCTGTTCCTCTGGCTTCTCTCCCCCCTTCCACTGACACCCCTGCTACATCAACCCAGCAGTCCTCCCCCTCACCCCCAGCACCCTTCTCCTCCCTCACCGCTCTCTTCGCCAAGGCAGCAGCAGCAGTGGGTCTCAGCGCCCTCCTGCTCATGCCCCTGGCCCTCGGCTCGCACAGTAACGAGTCGCCTCTTATCGAATCGCAGCAGTCCAACTCCCACGAATCTGTCAACGTAACGAGGCCTCTGACTCACTACCAGTCGGTTCAACCACTCTCGCTGCACCAGCAGCACCAGTCCAACCCCCTGGCAGCACCGCTGCAGCTGTATAACCCCTCCGACCAGGCTGCATCCTCCTTGCCAGCAGCTTCAGTGCCGGCAGCAGCTCTGCAGCAGCCCACCCCGGCAGCAGCGCTACAGCTGTTCTTTGACCCTCTTACACTGCAACCGGTGCAGGCTGCAGGCACCGGGGAGGCGTATGAGGGACCCTCCGCTCTGGTGAGTCTATGTTTGAGAAGCCTCGAAGATACACCCGTCTGTATCACTGCAGCTGTTCTTGACCCTCTTACACTGCAACCAGTGCAGGCTGCAGGCACCGGGGAGGCCTATGAGGGACCCTCCGCTCTGGTGAGAGCTCTTATGTGGGTAGAAGATTCTCCTGTACCTGTTGCGAGTGCACTCGCGAAACTGTTAACGAGTGTGCTCAAAGGCATGGATGTGTGCAAACGTTTTGTCTACTCCTTACCTGCCCCTCTCCTCTGCTTCGCTTACTCTCCTCACCACACATTCTCCACTTTTCTCTCCCCCCCCCCCCCCCCCCTTTTGATGCTCACCAGCTGAGCATAATTCGACTCAAAACACTCCCCTCGCCATCCCCTCTCCACATTTCCTCTCCCCTCCTTGCTGCTCACCAGATCCCATTACCAGTGCTGAAGGAAGCAGAAACAGAAGTCTTGAATTTGATTGGCCAGTACGTGGCAGTGGCTAGGGAAATGAAGGGACTGGCTGCAGTGGTTGCTCCGGATGCTTCGCCGGAAGATAGGATCCAGGCTGCGTTTCTATTCTGCCGCCAGCTGGCGTCACCGCCGTCCACGTCAGCAGCTGGGATGTCTAGAGTTGGTGGTGGTTTAGAAGACCCAACGTCAATGAGCCGCATCTTCTGTGCATCGATGGGGTTGTGAATGTCGTGCGAAGATAGCCTGTATGGCATGTAATGTTGACATGAAGCAGTACCGTTTGATGCTGCCTTTAGTGCTGCTTTTTTTTTTTCGTAATGGCTTAAAATGTGGACTACTTTTGTACCCAAATTTGTTCACTGTTTTCACATAGCATTATCCCAACCCAATCCTCCTTCAGAACAGTGCCTGCATTTGGTCGTTTTCCAAGCACGGTGCTGTTGCTTGCCAATTTCGTCCTCCATTCCCGCGCTAGTGTTGCAAGTGGGAACTCCCACTGCACTGTGCGCCGAATGACGTGGCTGCCTCAGCGGGGCTGCGCGTGTGACATTGGGCTGACAAATCGGGTCAATGGGGTCTGTGGAGCGGCCAACTTCATACATACTCAAATTATTCCCGAGCGGGCTCTCAGGTGTAATCAACTTGGATTTCCTCAACGTTGATTGGGCTTCGCTTTTTAGCACATTTCAAGCTGGTCGAACTCTTGAGGAAGTGACAAAAACAAAACCATCCAGTTTAACTCCCCGAATTGGATATGTTAGATTAAAGTACGGAAATTTACGACAGGGCCGAAAAAAAGTAAACCCTCTAGGGAGCATGGACGCATTTTCGGGAGGTATCAACCCTAAACACGGGAAAAGGGCATTGTTTTTAGTGTTGATGCCTCCCGAGTCAAGTTCCTTTCCGACTGGGTTTTATTTTTGGGTCGGGTAGGGTGCCTTATATATTTTTTTTTAATATTGGGCGGCTTCTCGTTGTATTCAGGGTTGATCCGTCTCGAAATTCATACAGGTCCGCTACAGGTTATTTTGATTTTTAATCAAGTGCTGAAACTAATTTTAGTCACTGTCTACAGAAAACAACAAGAATAGACGAGTACTATATCGCGAAACTGTGTTTCTGTTGGTGATTACACCTGAGAACCCGCTCGGGAATAATCTGAGTATGTATGAAGTTGGCCGGTCTGTGGAGATTTCTACCGCGAGCTTTGGGCTTTGAGAATCCGGAGTCTGGATTTCAGACCTGACCAGTTGGGCCAGTGGCTGAAACTCCATCCCCTATTTTGTACATACAAGAAAATTTCCTACTGTACCTTCGAGCCCGTTTGTTTTCCTGAAAGGGGCTCTATGAATGTGGTGGTCGTCCATCCGTTTCCCTCGCATGCCCTCGGTCAGCGTCAGCGCATTTCGGACCCACACACTAGGGACGCTTAGCCGAATACAGTAAACCAAGAAAAGGTCCCTCAGTACTGTACAACCTTACGCGTACGCTACGCACACCTTTTGTTGGGTTACCCAAATCCCGAAAAAGAAAACCTTTTTGCCTGGATGATGGTTGGCAAATGAAGTGAATTTTGCTTGAAATACACGAAGATAGGTTTGCCAGATTCCAGGGGAGACCGAAGTGTTTCAGGATTTACAGCCCCTGTCGTCAAGTCTCCCACCTTGGCCCATAAACGGATGCTGCTGACTTTCAGGATTTACAGCCCCTGTCGTCAAGTCTCCCACCTTGGCCCATAAACGGATGCTGCTGACTTGTCACACGGGAAATCCCCTCTGCCAGCGTCACTTGCCACTCTTGTTTCTCGCTGTTGGACGATTTGTCAACTTGTGTGAAGGTTTCTTTTCTCCGCTTCTTTCCTCCCCCTCCAACGCCTTTCTCTCTCCGCCTGCCCTGCTTCGGTGGCGAAAGAAACACCCACCACTTCCACCAGGAGGCGACAAATCTGCCCTGTGTTGCGGAGAACAAGCTCTCCCAACCCCACCCCACCCCACCTTTTACCCTGTCCACAGCACAGCATCGCAATAAAACTACTTGTCAGCCTGTGCTCCTTCCACCCAACGGCACTATGGCAAGATGGCCCCTCCACCACCACCCCTCCCCCTCCATTTCATCTCAACCTCCTCTGAACCATCCAAAACCATTTCCACCACTGCAACTGACCAGGCATCTCCACCACCACCACCACTACCTGGACTGTTTGCTTATCTGCAGTTCAGACCGAAGCCTCCAGGCGTAAAACGGTTCTCCGTTAGTTGCAGCTCCTGTGGTTGTTGCCGAAACGCCCAGCGAATGCAAGTCCAGCGCCATGCGACCGCAAGGACTGGAGAAAGGGGTTTCAGCAGCAGAAGTGGCGCAGCGGAACGCCCGCAACAGCAATTTCAACAGCCCTTCAGTTGAGTCGAGTTGAAGGTTACTAACTTACCGTTCAGCTGACAGAGGTAGTCGCATGCGATCCTCGACTTCGCATGGAAATGCTTTCAGACGTCGTTCGGCGTGACGCTTCACAACGACAGAAAACTCGCTAGTTATTAGGCTGGTGTCGCTAGTTTTAATTAGTACCTTCCCGGACTGACTAACAATCTTGATCGCCTAGACCGCCTAGACTCCGTAGCGTCGTTCGCTGGATAAGGATAAAAAGTCGACCTTCAGCCTCGTGAGCGGTTTCTGACCCGTCAATGCATCCTATCTTTGAAAGTAGATCAGGTGGCTGTGCCGCTGACGGTTCTTGGTCAGGCGGTTGCTCCGGCAGTAGATTAGCCGGCCGCAGTGACGGCGATGGACGGCCGCTCGTAACGTATCAGGCTTCGAGGAGTTCTCGCCGCGAATGGCCCTCGAGCTTGTCACAACGCCCGCAGGCTGCGGCGATACGCCCGCAGGCTGCGGCGATGCGACCGCCCAACTTAATCTCTAAGGCGACTCGAAACAGATCGCGTAATTCGAAAGAGGAAGGCATCCCGCAGTTTCCGATTTTCCTGATGTGGAGACGATTAACCTTTTTGCGTTCCTGTTGGGCCATAGCCCTCGTCGTCCTTCTCACCGTTCTCCACCCGACTGCAACCCTAGCCAGCCGCAACGGCCCTGCCGTAGACTCGTTGCGACGTCCCTCTTCCGCAAAAGGCGACGGCGATCGCGGAGGAGCGGCGCTGACGGCGCAATCGGAGGCGCCTATGTTCGAGGCGCACATGCTGGAGAAGTGGGCCGCCGTGAAACACGGCGAGCCGCAGCCCAGCAGCCTGGAAGAAATCGCGCAGGTGTTTCTGCAGGAGGGGTATGGCGACGCGACGGCAGAGCTGGAATGTGTCACCACGAGCGGCCGGAATGGCCGCAGCATCGTTATTAGTAGAACCCTTACTAGCAGTATCACGGCCCGCAGCAGCAGCGGCGGCGGTGGCGGCAGCGGCTTTATCCCGCGGCGGTCCGGGGCGCTGCGCGCGCAGAGTCCGCGGTTGAGTTCCGCGGAGCGGGCGCGTCGGCTGTTAGACGCTTCGGGCGAGGAGGTGGTGCCGATTCAGGCGCCCCCGCTGGGATCGCCGCCAACAACGGGCGACCTGAATCAGCCGTGGTATCGCTTCGAGACCGTGTCGCAGCTGCGGTTCGTCGACTGGCGCGCGTCGCGGTACAGGACGGGCCTGCTGCTCCAGGACGGGGTAAGGGAGTGTGTACGTCGGTGCTGTCAGATTCAGTGCGGTGCAGTACGGGGCTGCTAGGTTCTTTCCGTTTTCGGGGGCAACGAGCGTCGGGCATTTGTAGCCAAGGTTAAAATACCTCCCGCTCCCTTCTCATCACCGTCGTTCCCTTTCCCCACTCCTCCGTTCCCCCTCCCTACTCGTTCACCCTCCCTCCCCCTCCCCGCTTCGCCCCCCCTCCTTCCCCTTCTCCCCCCGCAGTGCGAGAGCTGCTGGGCGTTAGCAGCGACGGACCTCCTCTCGATGCTCTGGGCCCTCGCTTTCAACGCCACGGCGCCCGTGCCGCTCGCGCCGCAGCAGGTCTGCGACTGCGGCACGGGCAGCTGCTGCCGCGGCGGCTGGCCCGAGTGGGTGTTCCTCTACGCGATGAGCAACGGCGGCGTTGCGCGGGAGATCGATTATCCTTACACTGCTGTGGACGGGTTGAGTTGCCGCGGATTGCAAACCGGCGCGGTGAAATTGGGGAACGTTAGCGGGTGGGAGAAAGTTCCGGCGAAAAGCGCGGTTTCGCTGATGAAAGCGGTTTCGCAGCAGCCGGTGTTGGTATACATCGCGACGGATAGCGACGATTTTCGGGGATACAGTGGGGGTTTATTTAAAGGAGTTTGCGGAAAAGATATCGATCACGCGATGATTGTGATGGGTTACAGTTTAGACGCGGCGGAGGGACCCTATTGGCTGCTGAAAAACACCTGGGGGCCGGAGTGGGGCGAAATGGGTTACATGAAGCTGCCGATTTTGAACGAAAGCCAGCCGACCGGGAAGTGTAGCATTCACAGCGAAGCTGCGGTTTACCCAACCTTTTACGATTCGCGGAGTAATGCGAACCCGTGTAACGTTCGCCCGCAGCCGTGCGGTGGGGGCACATGCAAACTGCATTCAGACGGCGCGGCGCGGTGCACGTGCCCCACGGGATTTGTGGAGAGGAGGGAATCGACCGGGCCGCCCAAATGCGTGCGGGCGGACCTGTGCGGCGCGAACCCGAACCCGTGCGGCTCGGGAAACTGCTCGAATAAATTCGACGGCAGCTACACCTGTTCCTGCCCCGCGGTACGATTTTCACTCTGCTTTGCACAATTCCACGTTCCTTTTTCTCGCCCCTACGTTCCCCCTGATTTCAAGTCTTCCCGTCCAGTCGCTGCCCCCCTCGCTGCTCCTTTCACCACCATCTCTTACTTCCCCGTCTGTCCCATTTTTCTCCCCTCCCCTCCCCTTCCGCCTTCCGCCTTCCCCCTTCGTGGTGCGTGCAGGGGTCGGTAATCGGAGCGCGCACGGACGGCGCGATGACGTGCGTGCTCGGCACGTTTCAGAGCGGGCTGCAGACCTACACCGTCGCTGCCGGGGACACCTGCGAGGTGAGGTGCCCCGGACCGTTGCCTCCCTCCCCCCCGCTCTGCTTCCCCTCCTCTCCCTCCTCCGTTCCCCCTCCTTCGCCCGCTTCCCCTCTAATTCCTTTTTCTTTCCCCATTTCCCTCTTCCCCCCCTCCCCCCCGCCTTCTATACTCGTTCCCCCCGTTACCCTCTTCTGTTTACACTGCCGCTTTCAACTCCTCCCAACCAACCCTTTTCCCTCCACCTGCTTAAATGGTTTACACCTCGTCCCTTCTCTCCTCCTACTCTATACCCTTCCCCCATTTCGTCCCTCTCTCCCCCACATCCAGTCCCTCGCGCGCGCGTTCAACATAACACCCGCATCCCTTGAAGCCCGGAACCCCTTCGTTGACTGCTCCGTCCCGCCACTCACGCCCGGCTACATCCTCATAGTTGCCGGCGACACCAACATCACTCTCGGCTGCGCAGCAGTCGACCTCATCTCCCCAAACGACACCTGCACAGCCATCGCTGCGCGTAACAACTTTACCACGAAAGTCCTCCAAGCGCTCAACCCGGGTGTGAACTGCTCGCTGCCCGCGCCGTCGCCGTCGCTGCGAGTGTCGTCTACAGTGTGCGTGCGATCCGGAATGCTGTCTACAACTGCGCCGGCGGCGGTGTCGTGTGGGCAGACGTACCGCGTGCAACCGGGGGATACCTGCATGAATGTGGCTCTCAACGCCAGCATCACGCTCACCCGCCTCTTGCTGTGAGTGGTTCACTCGACTCGCTCATCCGCTTCTTGCTCAGAGTGTTTCCCTCGACTAAAAAATCCATGGGCGCATGCATGCTGCGAGTCTGCGAAAGTCCTTGTAACCCACCTGCGCTACCTCACCCACCCCCTGCCCTTCCCTCTTCCCCCCTCGCAGCCTCAACCCCGGGCTGAGATGCACCACCATGGCCCCTCTGGACCCCTCGATGTTGCTCTGTGTGGCGCCACTGACGGTGGAGCTTGTGAGCGTTGAGTGCGCCGAGTGGTACTCTGTCACCCAGGCCGACACCTGCACCCGCATCGCCAACGCTGCTCTGCTCTCCATGGATGATTTCATGAAGCTCAATCCCGGACTCAGGGTAAGCTCTAGTTTTACACCTTGGACTCTTAGGGTAAGCTCTTGTGTACACACTGGGCTCACCATGCCTCGTCCTGCTCTTGTTCTCCTGTTTCTCAGTCTATATTTTTTATCTTGTAGTGACGTTTTCCTCTTCTCATGTTTCTCTTCCTCCCTTTTCCCTTTGCAGTGTGACCCGCCATACTTCCAGATTGGCCAGCAGGTGTGCGTCGCAGGGGCAATCGACGCGTTCAGTGCCGACTCTCTCTCCTCCGACGTTATCCCGTACACCGTCGTTGCAAACGACACCCTCGCATCTATCGCCAAGTACTTTAACACTCTCTGCCTCAACAACACCTTCCCCACTTCTATCTGCGACACCAACACCCTCCCCTCCTGCGACGATTCCGCCATCTCGCAAGGGCAACTGCTGCTAATACCCTGCAAAAACCGGATATTTTCGGACGTCTGTCCGCTGGCGACGTCGACCGTGTGTGGGGCTGATGGAGTGACATATGGCAGCGGGTGTGCGGCGAAAAAGGCATATGCGATGCCGTTCAGGCAGGGAGTGTGTGCGCCGTGTGAATCGGCCTGCCGTGGCCGCATGTTCTTAAAGCCACTCACCGGCAATGCCTGCACTTCCACAGCAGCTTGTCCCCCTCCCTCGTGGCCACTCACTGATCCTGCCCTCACTTGCGGAAATCTCTCGCCTTGCGATTGTTTGTTTCAAATATGCGCATACAACTGTAGACGGGCGTCGGCGTATTTGGCGCTGAGCCAACGGCCGGGATGGGCTCCCAACACTTGCCTGCCTGCCTGCTACCAGTTACGAACTCCTTGCCTTGCTCGGAAACCGCCTGCTTGGCTTAGGTAGTGGTAGGAATGGTGCTTTGGAGGAGCGGAAGTGAGTGCTGCTGGTCAGGGTGATCGAGCAGAACAACAGGCTTTCTTTTTGCTTTTCTGTTTGTTAGATGTGCCTAAATCCTGCTGATCCACGTTTTTGCTTTGTACATGTTTCTACTAATACAAAATTCTGACACCTCTTTGCGCATGGGCAGGTTGATCAGCATGTAGCCCGAAGAAATCCAGTAGTTTCACGTCTGATAGCAAACGTTTGATACTATATCGAGAAGGTTCATCTGCATGTTCTGTCGCACAGCTGGGTAACTCGCTCAGCAGTTCTCCGCCACCGCAACACACGGAAGAGGGGACGGCTTCATCAGTTGCTGTCACAGCAGTCCGCAATTCACGCCACACCTCACCTTCGTGCTCCTCGCGATCCCGAATTTCCCGAGCCGCTACGAACAATTTTCGTCCAGAAATTTGCGAGCTGAATTTCGCGCCACGACCCCTCCCCCACTTCCTTCATTTTCGTCACTCACGCACTTGCTCGCAATTTCAGTCCCAACCCAATTTCAGAACGGATGCGCGAAAAAAGCATCAGTGCTTCCTAATCACGTCACCTCCCACTTCATACCTCCCTCCATGCACCCATCAGAAAAATGTCGGTCACAATCTGACGTCTTTGAATTCGCTAGCGCCGACAGCTGTCGCAATCGCAAGTGGCATATCGCTGGAGTATAAATAGCGCACTGCCTTGCCAGGCACAATTGACTAGACTATCTTTGCGGGTGAATCCGTAAAACTTAGATCTTTCTCTTCAGTAGCTCAAATAGAAGGACTACTCCACTGGAACTTACGGCCCACGCGGTAGGACCAGTCAACCGAACGCAGACGACTCGTCAACCATAGCAGCAGAGAGCGTGTGTATGTACAATTTTGCAATCCGTCACGAGCGAGATACATCGACATAGTACCATCCGCACGAGTACCGTGACATGGCGAGCAGGACTTTGCTGGGAGCAATTCTCGTTCTCTCACTCGCCGTAGCGGCGGCTGCGGGGCCGACGCCTGCGGAGTTCATCGCGGAACTGGAGCAGCTGCAGAAGACCCTTCTCAAGAACCCGTTCAAATACTCGATGGTAGCGAACGCGTTACAACGGTCAATCAAACAGCTTAGTACGTGCTGTATCGTCACTTTCGGCCATCTTCTTGTTCCGTTTCTATCCCACTAACCACCATTCAACCCCCATCAACCACCATCACCGCTCATCTTTCCCCTTTCCCTCCCCACCCTTCACCCCCTCCGACTTACACCTCCTCTTCCTAATCATTTATAGTTGACTGACGCGATAACTCAACAAGTAACTCAACTTCTTCCCTCCCACTTCTGCACCTTTTCTTCCCGATTTCTCTTTTTTTTTTTTCCTTGTTTCTTTCAGAGAAGCTACCCGACGCGAACATAAGCGTGGAGTTTCTATCTGAAAACACTGCGCTGATCCCCACCAACATCGCTCTCACGGGAGTCGGCATACGCGCTATAGTGCCAAAGCTAATGGGCGACCTGATTCGTTTTAACGTCATCGAAGGCTTGTACCCGTTCGCACAAATAAAGTCGATTCCTGTTGGCGGGAAACTGAAAACGCAATTGAACGGCAAGCAGCTCGTAAGGTTCAAGACGCAAACGGGTTTTCTTTCGCACGGTACAACCGTTGCGCTGGGCCCTCCTGGGGCGAACGTGCTGACGTGGGCACAAATCGACGATCCAGATCTGTTCAAAGGGCAGTTTATCCGAGCGCACGGTGTGGATGGAGTCCTCAAGCCCAACGGGATCATCTGAGGTCCCGCGTCCTGCCACCAGCTTTTTTTCTGAAGACTAACATACTTAATCTATACATACACTCATTGTACTTCTGCACCGTATATAAGTGAGGTTTGCGAGAAAAGAGTTTTCTGCTGTTTCCCACTCGAGAGGCTCACTTCTGATAGGCTTCAATGGGTTACCGTACTGTTGCTTATACTGTGCAGAACTTCAGGTTTGACACTGCCTTTCTATGCATGACAAGCAGGGCCCTAGATATCAGACTTTGGAGTCTGATTCAGAGTCCGTTCAGACTTTTTTTTTGTACCTAGTCTGAACTCAATTTTTTTATGCACCCTGTCTGATTTTTCAGAGTTTTTTTAACTGACTTGTCTGAAATTTCAGCGTAGTCATAGTAGTGTAGGCTGAGCCTCAGACTTGTATCGGGGGTCCACTCTGAAACCGGTTATACAGGGGTTTCCGCCAGCCTGAATGAAAGGTTATCGGAACGAAACTTCCTCGAAACTTCTTTTCGATACACCCACGTGTGTACGAGCCAGCACTAACGATTTCCTCCGGATAAAACTGCCCGAGTAGGGGCACCAGAATACACTACTTTGTCGACGCTATCACGAGTGTTGAATTCATCGGGGGCTTATAATAAACCCTTAAATTTTGAAACTAGATAGCCAATCGCACATGGCCAAAACGATTTTAGCGAATCTTACATGGCGAAAAAGCGAATTGGTGCAAACGAAAGCCTTGTCGCATATGAGTCTCGTACTTCAGCAGAACCGCACATCATTTCCCCTTGCCAAACCGAGTATAAATTTCGAAGCTGCAACTTTATGAGAAAATATTCCACGCACATACGGTGTACACAGTGGAAAACTCTTGCTGCTGCCAGCGCGCCCAGCACAGAAAAGTGCCGAGCGATACCTTGCCTGCTGCCAGGTCAGCTGATTGTGAGCTTGCCACACTTGGCACTTGCACGAGGCCATTGTCTGATGCCCACACCTCGACCCTGACTGCTCAGTGTTCCTAACTTTTGAAAAATGACCAATCAGAGTGCCCCATTTCTAGCCGCACAATTGCGTTGGTATGCTGTAATCAGCTTCAATGCTATTATAACTATGCTGTTATGAAACTGCATGAACATCTTAAAATTTGAAGTAACTCTGACAGTTCAGACAAAAAAAAATGTGCTTGTCTGAATTTTTAGACTCAAAAAAATAGGTAGCTCTGACAGCCAGACTAAGAAGAGGGGTGTACTCTGAGGCGTCAGACTACCTCAAAACGAATCTAGGGGCCTGGTACACAGTGGAAAACTCTTGCTGCTGCCAGCGCGTCCATGTCAGAGGTCCATTGGGGATCCCCGATGATCCTAGGGAAGGGTTACAGGCACGTCGGCCTGGGGGGTTATGGGCGCACTCACCCGCTACACAAACAAGCCCTTTTATCCCAGTGGTTAGTGACTGGGATTCTGACATGGTATCAGAGCGAAGGTCTCGGGTTCGATTCCCGGTGTGTGCACTTCGGGCATCCCAGTGCGGGGGGGTGTTAGAGGTCCACTGGGGATCCCCGATGATCCTAGGGAAGGGTTACAGGCACGTCGGCCTGGGGGGTTATGGGCGCACTCACCCGCTATATAAATAAGCCCTTTTATCCCAGTGGTTAGTGGCTGGGATTCTGACATGGTATCAGAGCGAAGGTCTCGGGTTCGATTCCCGGTGTGTGCACTTCGGGCATCCCAGTGCGGGGGGGTGTCAGAGGTCCACTGGGGATCCCCGATGATCCTAGGGAAGGGTTACAGGCACGTCGGCCTGGGGGGTTATGGGCGCACTCACCCGCTATATAAATAAGCCCTTTTATCCCAGTGGTTAGTGGCTGGGATTCTGACATGGTATCAGAGCGAAGGTCTCGGGTTCGATTCCCGGTGTGTGCACTTCGGGCATCCCAGTGCGGGGGGGTGTCAGAGGTCCACTGGGGATCCCCGATGATCCTAGGGAAGGGTTACAGGCACGTCGGCCTGGGGGGTTATGGGCGCACTCACCCGCTACACAAACAAGCCCTTTTATCCCAGTGGTTAGTGGCTGGGATTCTGACAGCCCAGCACAGAAAAGTGCCGAGCGATACCGTGCCTGCTGCCAGGTCAGCTGATTGTGAGCTTGCCACACTTGGCACTTGCACGAGGCCATTGTCTGATGCCCACACCTCGACCCTGACTGCTCAGTGTTCCTAACTTTTGAAAAATGACCAATCAGAGTGCCCCATTTCTAGCCGCACAATTGCGTTGGTATGCTGTAATCAGCTTCAATGCTATTATAACTATGCTGTTATGAAACTGCATGAACATCTTAAAATTTGAAGTAACTCTGACAGTTCAGACAAAAAAAATGTGCTTGTCTGAATTTTTAGACTCAAAAAAATAGGTAGCTCTGACAGCCAGACTAAGAAGAGGGGTGTACTCTGAGGCGTCAGACTACCTCAAAACGAATCTAGGGGCCTGGTACACAGTGGAAAACTCTTGCTGCTGCCAGCGCGCCCATGTCAGAGGTCCATTGGGGATCCCCGATGATCCTAGGGAAGGGTTACAGGCACGTCGGCCTGGGGGGTTATGGGCGCACTCACCCGCTACACAAACAAGCCCTTTTATCCCAGTGGTTAGTGACTGGGATTCTGACATGGTATCAGAGCGAAGGTCTCGGGTTCGATTCCCGGTGTGTGCACTTCGGGCATCCCAGTGCGGGGGGGTGTCAGAGGTCCACTGGGGATCCCCGATGATCCTAGGGAAGGGTTACAGGCACGTCGGCCTGGGGGGTTATGGGCGCACTCACCCGCTATATAAATAAGCCCTTTTATCCCAGTGGTTAGTGGCTGGGATTCTGACATGGTATCAGAGCGAAGGTCTCGGGTTCGATTCCCGGTGTGTGCACTTCGGGCATCCCAGTGCGGGGGGGTGTCAGAGGTCCACTGGGGATCCCCGATGATCCTAGGGAAGGGTTACAGGCACGTCGGCCTGGGGGGTTATGGGCGCACTCACCCGCTACACAAACAAGCCCTTTTATCCCAGTGGTTAGTGGCTGGGATTCTGACAGCCCAGCACAGAAAAGTGCCGAGCGATACCGTGCCTGCTGCCAGGTCAGCTGATTGTGAGCTTGCCACACTTGGCACTTGCACGAGGCCATTGTCTGATGCCCACACCTCGACCCTGACTGCTCAGTGTTCCTAACTTTTTAAAAATGACCAATCAGAGTGCCCCATTTCTAGCCGCACAATTGCGTTGGTATGCTGTAATCAGCTTCAATGCTATTATAACTATGCTGTTATGAAACTGCATGAACATCTTAAAATTTGAAGTAACTCTGACAGTTCAGACAAAAAAAATGTGCTTGTCTGAATTTTTAGACTCAAAAAAATAGGTAGCTCTGACAGCCAGACTAAGAAGAGGGGTGTACTCTGAGGCGTCAGACTACCTCAAAACGAATCTAGGGGCCTGGTACACAGTGGAAAACTCTTGCTGCTGCCAGCGCGCCCATGTCAGAGGTCCATTGGGGATCCCCGATGATCCTAGGGAAGGGTTACAGGCACGTCGGCCTGGGGGGTTATGGGCGCACTCACCCGCTACACAAACAAGCCCTTTTATCCCAGTGGTTAGTGACTGGGATTCTGACATGGTATCAGAGCGAAGGTCTCGGGTTCGATTCCCGGTGTGTGCACTTCGGGCATCCCAGTGCGGGGGGGTGTTAGAGGTCCACTGGGGATCCCCGATGATCCTAGGGAAGGGTTACAGGCACGTCGGCCTGGGGGGTTATGGGCGCACTCACCCGCTATATAAATAAGCCCTTTTATCCCAGTGGTTAGTGGCTGGGATTCTGACATGGTATCAGAGCGAAGGTCTCGGGTTCGATTCGTGGTGTATGCACTTCGGGCATCCCAGTGCGGGGGGGTGTCAGAGGTCCACTGGGGATCCCCGATGATCCTAGGGAAGGGTTACAGGCACGTCGGCCTGGGGGGTTATGGGCGCACTCACCCGCTACACAAACAAGCCCTTTTATCCCAGTGGTTAGTGGCTGGGATTCTGACAGCCCAGCACAGAAAAGTGCCGAGCGATACCGTGCCTGCTGCCAGGTCAGCTGATTGTGAGCTTGCCACACTTGGCACTTGCACGAGGCCATTGTCTGATGCCCACACCTCGACCCTGACTGCTCAGTGTTCCTAACTTTTGAAAAATGACCAATCAGAGTGCCCCATTTCTAGCCGCACAATTGCGTTGGTATGCTGTAATCAGCTTCAATGCTATTATAACTATGCTGTTATGAAACTGCATGAACATCTTAAAATTTGAAGTAACTCTGACAGTTCAGACAAAAAAAAATGTGCTTGTCTGAATTTTCAGACTAAAAAAAATAGGTAACTCTGACAGCCAGACTAGGAAGAGGGGTGTACTCTGAGGCGTCAGACTACCTCAAAACGAATCTAGGGGCCTGATGACAAAGCGTCAGCTCAACATAACTTCACACAGCTTTAGATTAATTGCTACATGGAGGCAATTCACAGCAGCAAGACCAAAAAGCTGTTGTCAAATCCCTTGTTCAACAGTGTCAGCTCAACATGGTATTCTACTGGAAAAGGGACTGGCAGTTTCAAATCAAAGCGCCCAAAGAGTCAGCGGGGTGGTGGTGGCCGGCCCAACAAGGGCTTGGCGTCAGCAGCGCTGGCAGAGGGGTGATGCACTAGGCACGCTGCTTATTTATTGCTTTAAAAGTTAACTCAACATCACTGGCAGCAGCTTCTGGGCTCGCCTACGGGTCTTGTGCAAGGAGAGCCTCGGCATAGGGCCTCCACAATTGGACGGCTGAGATGTCAGCATCCAGCGAGTGGCACAGCCCTCGTAGCAGCAGCATGGCTCTCACAATCTGATGCAGACAAAGAAGAGAGATGAGGAGAAAGATGGGCGGGGGTAAGGGGGAAAGGCGATTAGACCAAGTGCCAAATGTGGCACAGCCCTCAAAGCAGCAGCATGCCCCTAATGATTTGAAACAGATGGAGGAGTGGGGGAGGGGGGGGGGGGGGGGGGGTAGGGTGGGGGAGGGAGAGGGGGAGAGGCAACTTCGAGTCTGTTTTGAAGGCGCCGAAGCAACATGGGGGCTCAAAGACTTTTGAGGCGCCTCAAAAGTTTTCAAGGCTCAAAATGCCGGAGCAATATGGGCTCTCACGGTCTAATTCATGCACCCACAAGGGAGCCCGTTCCTCTTCACACCTTCCCCGCGACTTTTGAGGCGCCTCAAAAGTCACCAATATGGGCTCTCACGATCTGATGCATGCACCCACAAGCCAACAAGTTCCTCAGACCTCCCCCGCGCTTCCTCTGTCCCCCCCCCATCCCTCACCACTTCCTCTCTCTACCCCCCACTCACCAGCCAGTAGGACTGGTTGAACGCCTTGAGAGGAGCCCTCTGCAAAAGAGACTCCTGAGCGAGGGGTGACGTCTGGGCCTCAGCCATGGGGCGCGTGTCAAACATGAGGTACGACAGCGTCTGCACCGTCTGCAGCCTCTATAATCCCTCCTTTACCCCCACCACTAGCCACACACCCACCTGCCAGCCCAAACTCACCAGCCACTAGGACTGGTTAAATGCCTCCAGTGGCGCCCTCTGAAGCACGGACTTTTGTGCAAGAGGCGAGATTTGAGCCTCAGCCGTGGGGCGCGTGTCAAACATGAGGTATGACAGCGTCTGCACCGTCTGCAGCCGCTGCATCCCCTCTTTCATCCACCTTCTCCCCACTTAGTCCCACACCTACCTCCCAGCCGGACCAGCCCTATTCAGCCCCTTACCATTCCGCCCCCTTCCCCCAACCACTCACCAGCCAGTACGATTGGTTGAACGCCTTGAGAGGAGCCCTCTGCAAAACAGACTCCTGAGCGAGGGGTGACATCTGGGCCTCAGCCATGGGGCGCGTGTCAAACATGAGGTACGACAGCGTCTGCACCGTCTGCAGCCTCTGCGGCGTTGCTGCTGCCAGCAGCCCTGCTGGCCCCACCTCCTTCAGCAGCGTTGCCAGCGCTGAATCCCCATCAGATTCTCCCCTCCTCGCACCTGCCTTGTTGCTACTGCTCTCCTCCCGTCCCTTCTCACTCACACCAGCAGCAGCAGCAGCAGGAGCAGCAGCAGTGGTGGCAGCAGCATTGGCGTCATCAGGAGGGGCGTTTTCTGTGAAGGCGACCACAGCAGCCAGCACTGCAGCAGACACGGTTCCCCCTTCCACCCCATGCAGCACTGGTGATCCCCCTGCAGCAGCGGCAGGAGTGGCAGCAGCAGAAGTAGCAGCAGCAGGAGCAAGAGCCACAGCCGAAACAGGAGCAGGAGCAGCAGCAGGAGTGGCAGAAGTAGCAGCAGGCACTGCAGGTGCAGGGGCAATGAGGTTGCTTCTAATTGGGGCAGCTGGCATGCCAGCAGCAGCAGCAGCAGCAGCAGAGCTTGAGGAGGCAGCAGGGCCGAGAGTGAGGGGGTCACTGAACGCAACTGACTTCTTTTTCCTCGGCCTGGGGCCAAGACCAGGCAGTCCCACTGCTGCCTCTCCTCCTGCTGCAACTGCTGCTGCTGACGATTGTGCTGTTCCTGTCCCTGTGACTGTTGTTACTGCTGCTGCTGCCGTGCCTGCTGGTGCTGCTTTTGAGCCCGAGGCTGCTGCCCGCTTGGGTCCCAGACCAGAACCAAGGCCCAGCCCTGCAGGAGCAGGAGCAGGAGCAGGAGAAGGAGCAGGAGCAGGAGCAGCCACACTTTTTACTGTTGCCAGGCCGTTACATTGCGCACTCTCTGACACGTGTCCATTCATCATTGGCTCAACTTTCGCTGCCTCGTCGCCCCCCTTCCCGCCCTTCCCACCCTCCTCTGCCCCCACTGCTGCACTCCCCCCTGTCGACTCCTCCCCTGGTTTAGAGAAGAAGGTAGTCCAATCAGCATCCCCCCCGAATGATATTCCTGTGCCCAGCAGAGCAAGGGCAATTTCCAGCTGGTTTCCCTTACACAGGGCCACCACCATCCGGGCAAACGAACGTTTCGTCTGCCGCTCCAAAACTTTCGACTGCCCGAAGTCCAGCAGCCCGAGCTTGGCTCCGGGCAGCAGCAAAAGGTTTCCCGGGTGCGGGTCGGCATGGAAAACGCCGTCCAGGAAGAACATGGCACCGTAGGATTCGAGGAGGGATCGGACGGCTGAGATCGCTTCTTGGCGTGTGGCGGCAAGAGGCGGAGGGAGGAGGGTGGAATCCTTATAGGGGTGTAGCGAGTCGATTATCTTGGTGAATGGTGTACCGTAGAGCCTCTGGGAGGGTTGAAAATGGGAGGGAAGGAGAAAAGCAAGGAGGAAGGGAAAAACGATTCAGGAGGAAAATGGGAGGTGCTTGTATCGTAGGGGTGTAGCGAGTCGATTATCTTGGTGAATGGTGTGCCGTAGAGCCTCTGGGGGACAGAGATGGGAGAAAGGGTGAAGGGGAGGAAAAGGACCAAACGAGTTAGGGAGGAAAAGGACCAAACGTGTTAGGGAGGAAAAGGACCAAACGTGTTAGGGAGGAAAAGGACCTAACGTGTTAGGGAGGAAAAGGACCAAACGTGTTAGGGAGGAAATGAGGGATGCGCTTCTGGGGGTGCAGTAGGGGTGACGTGATAGGACCAACAACAGCAGCAGCACCTGACAGAACCGCCACAACCACCACCGCAAGCCCACACGTACGTCCATGACGATCTGATTTGGCGTGTGCAGAGATACAGCAAGGACGACCTGGCTTGGAAGCTCTGAGACGGCTCACAAGTCACCAGTACCACCCAACACCCCACAGCACCCTTGCGTACCTCCATGACGATCATTCGCCGCGTGCAGAGACTCAACACGGGAGTCGGGCAGACGACTTGGTGGAAGCCCCGGCAGGCGAGGTTGTGGCGGACGGTGGTCATGAAGGCGGCCTCCCTCTGAAAGTTGAACTCGTTGGGAATGGTCTGCTGTATCTCCTTCACTATCTGGGAGCGGGGGGAAGGGGGAGGGGAAGGGGACGCGGAAGGGGGGACGAAGGGAAGAGGAGGAGGGGAGTGGGAAGAGGGGAGAAGGGCGAGAAGAAAGGGAAGTGGGAGAGGGACCAAGAAGAAGGGGAATAGACAATCGAACAGGCATGCTGACGAGCGCATGTGCATTTGTGCAGCTGAGAGCTCACACTGCATGTACCTACACCATACCACACCACACCACACCACACCGCACAGCATCGCACCACGCTACAGCACGGCAGAGCTCACATTGCGGAGGTCGAAGGGCAGCTGGGGTGAGAGGAACTCAGCCACGCGGCCAATGTTTCTGAGGTCGGAGCGCATGATGATATCCATACCCAGATGCTGTACCTTCACCACCACCGCCCTGCCCCGCTGCCTCTCCCTCTCCCTCTCCCTCTCCCTCTCCCTCTGCCGCTTTTCCTCCTCCTCGCTACCTCCCTCCTCACCAGCTCCCCGTTCCGCTACTCTTCCGGTCCCTCCCTCCCGTCCCTCACACGCTACCACGTGGCTACCACTCGCCACGTCAGCGCCAAGTTCAGAGGCCTCGGAATGCGCGTCAAAGAAATCGTCCCTCTCGTCTCCACTCTCCCCGCTCTCTCCTCCCTCCCCATCGAAAAACAGCTCCTCCTCGCCCTCCTCCTCCCGCTCGCCCTCCTCCGTCTTGTCATTGGCCAGCCGCGGAGGTATAGGCCGCTTCACCATGGCTCCAGCTGCACCTGTTTCCCCTGCTGCGGCAGCAGCAGAAGGCGAAGGTAGAGGTGGGTCGGCAGGGGAGATGGGTTTAATGGTGCCATCGGCAGTCATGACTCCGATGGGCTTGCGGTCCAGTGGCACCAGCCGGGATATCACCCCTGGCACAGTCCTCCGTGGGGCAGGACTGGTGCTGCTAGCACCTCCTACTGTGTTCACTGTACCTACTGTGTTTGTTGCACCTACTGCAGGGGAAGGAGGCACAGCAGCTGCTGCTGGTTTTTCTGCTGGTGTTTCTACTGCCAATTCTACCGCCCCTGCTGTATCCGCCCCTGCTGTATCCGCTGCTGCTGCATCATCTGCAGCTGTCACTTCCGCTCCCATCCCTGCGGTCGGTGCTTGGAAAGGCAACTGGAACAGCGGCTTCGGCCACGGCCGATCCGTCCGCGCCAGAAAGCACGCCTCAGTGCACTCAGCGGCAATCCCGAGGGCCTCTCTCTCCTTGCTCGTGAGGTGCGGGAGGATCGGCAGCACCTTGGTGGGGTCAGTGGGGTGGTTCTCAGGGAGGGGGTGCAGCAGCACGGCTGCATGCGCCTGGGCGATGGAGGCAGAGGCTAGGGACTCCTCGTCTATGCTCTCAAACACGTCTGCTACCAGCAGTGGGCGGCGCTTGACCTGCGATGACTTGCTTTGACTGGCTGCTTTGTCGGCTGTTGCGGGTTTGATTGAAGGGGCTTGACCATTCGCAACAGCGGCAGCAGGATCAGAGGTAGCAGCAGAGACAGCAGAAGTATCACCATTGGTAACAGCAGGGGGAGCAGTTGGGGCAGCAACAGGAGGAGGTGGGAGGAGAGCGGGGGTGGTGGGGGAGACGGGAGGAGGACAGATGGCGAGCTCGCATTGGATGGAGCGGATGACTTGCGAGTAGGGGCGGGGCGGCACGTTGTCGAATAGGGCTGACAGGCGCCGCACCCACGCTGCTGGCATGAAGTCCTGTGAGGGGGGATGAGGAGGGGGGGGGGGGGGGGGGGGGGGGGGGGGGATGGGGTGAACAGCATCGGGGGAAGGGAGAAGGGATGGCATACTGTGAGCGTTGGCCTTCGCACCCACGCTGGTGGCATGAAATCCTGTCAAGACGAAGGGAGGGCATGGGGGAGAACATGGGAGGGCGGGCATTGGGAGGGAGATGGGAGCGCGGGCATGGGGGGAAACGTGGGGAGGGGAAGATGGATGGGGGAACATGCGAGGCAAGGATGGGAGCGTACCGATTTGGAGGCAAGGATGGGAGCGTACCGATTTGGAGGCAAGGATGGGAGCGTACCGATTTGGAGGCAAGAATCTGCGCAGACTTGACGTAGAGACCACTGAGACGCAGCACCAGGTCGTGCACAAGCCTGCATTGGGGGGAGAGTGGGGGGGAGAGGGAACAGAGGGTAGAGAGAAAGTGCGGGGGAGGGCAAAGGAAGGACGGAGGGAGGGCAGAGGAGTAATGAGATGTTTGAAGGGCCACTGAGACGCAGCACTGGGTATGGGCCTGCATGGGCGGGCAGTTGGACATGAGGGCATCAATGGGAAGAACGGTGAAGCTGATGTTGAGAGTGGTGGTGAGGGTGGTGGTGAGGGTGGTGGTGAGGGTGGTGGTGAGGGTGGTGGTGAGGGTGGTGGTGAGGGTGGTGGTGAGGACCACATCAGGACAAGACGGCGCACATTCCTGGTGTCCTCGAATGCTCCTCTGTATTAGACTCCTCACCCTTGTTCAATCAGTTCTAATAGTGACAGACCAGACCAGACCAGACCAGACATGCTCCTCACGCATACTGCCTGAGGAGTCTAGTTTTGAGGCGCCTCAAAATCAGTTATATTAATGACAGACCAGACCAGACCAGACCAGACCAGACCAGACCAGACCAGACCAGACCAGACCAGACCAGACCAGACCAGACCAGACCAGACCAGACCAGACCAGACCAGACCAGACCAGACCAGACCAGACCAGACCAGACCAGACCAGCCATGCTCCTTACACATGCTGCCTGAGGAGCTAACTCTTGTTTAATCGGTTCTACTGCATACATGATGGTGCTTCTTGCCCCATCCCCTCTTACCCGCCGCCCACTTCCCACTCACTTACTGCCCCATTCACACACACACACACCCGCCGCCCTACGCCCGCTCACATGCCGCCCAAATTTCACACGCATGCCGGCCAATTCCACTCACTTGCCGCCCCACTCGTGGCGCACGGCCCACTTCTCGTGGCGCACCTCAATGGGCTTCTTGCGCACCGCAAGCTTTGTCTTCATGTACCTGGGGGTGGGGGGGAAGAGAGGAGGGGGAAGAGGAAGGGGGAGAAGGGGGAGGGGTTTTCAGGCGCTTCAAAAAGAACCTCAATGGGTTTCTTGCGCACCGCGAGCTTTGACTTCATGTACCTGGGGGAGAGAGGGGACGGAGGGGAGGGCGGGGAAGGGGAGGGGGAGGGGGAGAGAGAGGGGAAGAGGGGGGGGAGAGGGGGGATTTGGGAGGGAGGGTGAAAAGGGGACGTGGGTGGAAGAGGAAAGGGGAATAAATGAGGTGGGGGTGGGCTTGGAGCAAATGGAGCAAGAATGAGCTGTCTCAAACGCCTCAGAGCATGCACCCCAGGTAGACGGGCATGAGCTTTTAAAGTGCCTCAGGGAACGTACACGCACGCAACCCACGTGGATCAGAATGAGCGCTCAACGTGCCTCAGAAAACGCACCCCAGGTAGATGGGCATGAGGCGGTCCCAGAAGCGGAGCGTGCGCCAGACGTCGGGGAACGCGAGGGGGATTAGCGAGCTGAGCGCCACCTGCAGCAGCACCGGCACGCAGAAGGGCCGCAGCCGCGCCACGGACCCGGCTGCTCCGGCCGGCATTGGCTGCAGATGGGGGGAAGAAGTGGTTGGGCGTGGTTGGGAATGGTTGAGATTGATTGGGTATACTTAAGCACGGCTGGGCAGTCAGGGTTGTAGTCGGCTGGGAGAGAGCATGGAGCAGATTGTGTGCCATTCATTGTCATATGGGTCACTTATCCTCGTGTGTCTCTCTCATTGTCGTGTGTTTCGTTCAATGCAACGTGTACCGTTCACTGCCACGTGTATCTCTCTCTACCACGTGTATCTGTCACTGACCTTTGCGTCTCTCACTGGCATGCGCGTCTCTCGTCAGAGCCGACCGCGAAGGCCAGAATCACACGTGCCGTCACAGACGGCTGACGATGTGACACGAGTAGAAGCAGGAAGCTGCAGCTGCAGCTGCGGTAAGAATATAAATAGGCACAGCAATGCTAAAAGATACGCGTACCAGGCGAAGAGGCAGCTTGGACCAGACATTGCTGCTGGCGATCGCGGCGACTCGGAAGAAAGGCCATACGACCCGTCCTAGCGTGTGGACCGCGAGAACGGCCACGAACCGACCCGCGAAAGAGGCTCCGGACCGTAAGAATTTCCCGATACCCATCTGAGCTGCACCCTCTTAGTCCACGGAGTCACTGGAATCAGCCTTCCATGATGAAGAAACTATGGAGGTCAATAGTTGACGTCGAGTTGAATTAGAAACTAAGCTGCCGTAGAGTTGAACTGCTGAAATGACTGCCGTCGAGCTAATGAAGCTGATAGATGCTAGGAACCTCAAGGGAGAGGGCTAGTTCCGGTAGCAGTGGTCATGCAAGGATCGGCCGAGCATCGATCAAGTGCATCTGTCTGGTTACGTGTGGCTGGGCCTGACGACGCCGTTTGAGCTCTTACGTGCGGGTGGACCAGAGCCGAAAAAAGCCGACTAAACGTCTTGTCAAAGACCGTTTGGCCAGCCAATCTAGTGCTGAAACAGCAAACCGATTCCTGATGCTGTCATGTCAATCAGAGCATCTGAGTTGAGTTCCCTAGACAAATTACGAGTGTGTCAAATGCAGGTTGCTTCTTCCCCTGTGTGTGTTTGACCAATACAGCGGAGGAGGACCACTTCCATATCTCTATCCCTGAACGTCTGCCATAACAGCGATCGAACCTAAAGCTAGGTTTGGTTCGGAATTTGGTGGGGGAATTCGGATGAAATCGAGGGCGGGCTTGTGCTACAGCTCCAAATTCCCAGATTCTTGGGGTGAAACTGGGGGGAGCCCCTCTCAACGCACCGAAAGACAAAGCGTACTGATTGGCCGGAGGCTCGGCATGTAGCTATGTTCGGTTCGCCTGATCTGGTCCAGAAGAATTGCCGCGCCTAGAGAACTTCAGGCCGAACTTCGGTCATGCTCCGAACCTGGTTTCCCGCCACCGTAGTTTGTGCGGTGGACCGAGCCTCTCAGCTGCGGGAGAGGTTTGGTATCGAACAAGGCTGACGGTTTGGGCGGTCAGCAGCGTGTGCGTGGGTGAATACGCGGTGTTCAAAAGGAGGTATGGAAACCAGCAAGCATCTTTCCTATAGAACACTACCAATGCCTATCCCTCGATGTGCTTAGAAAACCAGCAAGCATCTTTCCTCTTCTACACCGCAAGCCATCGATTAGCATGGACCACATCGAGCCAAGAGCACCTATAAAATAATCAGCCTCTGCTGCCATAAGCAGATTGACCCAAGCATTCTCAACACTGCGTTGGGCACCGATTCGGGCCTCGAAGGCTGGCATGCTCTCCTTTCCTTGCATCCGAGGTACGTTGGTGACCTTCCAGTCCCATCCGGGAGTACGAATGGCCATTTCAACCACCTGCCAGCAGTAACCAACAACGAACCAGTGGAAACTTGGTCAACAAAAGAGCGATTGCAGCATACCCAGCAAATTCCCACGAGCCTAAGCGGAAGAAAAAGCATTCTCAGATAAAGCCACACAACAGTGAAGGGACGCGGGGTGTGATGGGGAGATGGGAGGAAGCACGATGGAACACCATAATAGGATGTCATGTAATGCCCCAGAGCCCCAGTTGCCTTACCGGCTGCATTTCCGTGCTGAGCCAGACGGTTGTAGCGGAGGGGTCGAACTGCCGCACTCTCGACAGCAGGTGCAAGTACGTGCCGAAACCCGCCACCCGCATCTCCCTTGCCTTGTCCCCCATGCGCACGTGCATGCTCACCAGAGGCCGCGGCACCCACGGTGCTGACCTGGCACCCACGAGAAAACCTTCATATGCACGAAAGCCCTCAAAAGCACCACTCTGAGACGCATTACGCTGAAAATCACTCTTCTTGATGGTTCTACTCTCGGACAACTGAGACGCAGCAGGGATGAGCTGTGGAGTCCCAGTCCCAGAGAGGTTAACACGGTGAGTGTTTGCGGCAAAGCCCAGCTTCTCGGCTCGAAGAATCGCGGCTTCTGCTTGCGCCACGTGGCGAGCTGCCATTGGTCCGAAGGCCGCGTGCCTGGCCCGGTTGAGGACGGCACAGAGGTAGCGCGAGGGCGAGCGCATGAGGAAGCGCCACGCCTGCGCCCTCCACCAGCGATCCTTGTTGCTGCAGTGAGGAAGGGGATGAGGGGTGGGGGTAGCACTGGCAGTGAGGAGTGGGTGGAGCAGTGCACAGTGTCATCACGAGAGAGGCAGGCATAGAAAGCAGCAGTGACCGATGGTGAAGGAATGGTAAGCGCATGAGGGAAGCGCCACGCCTGCGCCCTCCACCAGCGGTCCTTGTTGCTGCAGACAGTGAAGGGCATAACAACAGGCAGAGCAATGGGCGGTGCAATGGGCATGTGAGGGGCACGTGCAAAGGAAGGCAGAAAGGAGTGCCACGCCTGCGCCCTCCACCAGCGGTCCTTGTTGCTGCAGTGAGGAGTGGGTAGAGCAACGCATGGGCAGAGAAATCATGTGAGAGGCATGTGCAGTGGCATGGGCAATGGTATGTGCATGTGCATGTGCATGGGCAAGGGCATGGCAGCAACAAGCACCATGCCTGCACCCTCTGCCAACGGTCCTCTGCAGATGAATGGGCAGAGCAATCATGTCAGAGGCATTTGCGGTCAGGCACGGGCAGTCGGGCATTTGCGGTCAGGCACGGGCAGTCGGGCATGGGCAGTCAGGCATGGGAAGTCAGGCATGCAAGCAACAAGCACAAGTGAGGGCGAGGGCGTGTACAGTGAGGGCAAGGGCGTGTACAGTGAGTGACTCACCCGGTCTTGGTGGTTTGCCGCATGTGCCCGTTGATTTCAATGACAGCAGGGATGCGCAGCCACGGCTCCCCCCACAGGGCGGGCACGGGGGGGAACCACACCAGCTCCTCGGGAATATCCTGCCGCCGCACCACAGTCAGGTTTGAGTGCACGTCCGACTCTACTGACAGATTGGATTCGCCCTGAAGATTTGATTCTGCTGTGTGGTTTGATTGTGCGGCGGAGATAAGCGGGTTGGGATGCTGCGCTTTCTGCTTGGCCATTAGGTCGTGAGCTCGCCTGTGGGATGGGAGGTGGGAGGAGAAGGGGGGAGGTAAGAGGCATGGTTTCAAGGCAAGGCACCGCGCAGGCACGGCAGGGCATGGCATGGCATAGCATGGCATGGCATGGCATGGCATGGCATGGCATGGAGGCACTGAGTTCAGTGGCAACGGGCTGCAAGAGTTTGCACTTTCTGCTTGGCCACCAGGACATGAGCTCATCTGTGGTAGGAGAATAGAGATTCGACCCGCTTCAGAAGGAAGGAAAGGGAAGAGGAGGAGGAAGCGTTACAGGGCGGGGTACAGTGCAGGTGTAGACACAAAGGCAACCTTTCAGTCGACTCAAGAAAGGTGAATGAACCTTTCTTGGTGACGTTTCAAGGTAAGGAGTCCAGTCCGGTTGTGCGGTTGTGGCACTGACAATGGCTGGGGGGATGTTTCACGTGCTGTTCCGCCACAACCGGTTTATGTTGAACCTCGGCAGCTGCTGCTGTTGTTGTTTCAATATAAACCGTTGTGCTGGCCACTCGAGAGTACACTGAACTGAAGTACGCCACACGCCAGACCGCACCACACAGCACCACACCACACCACACCACCACAAACAGGCACCAAACACACACCTTCTGCACGCATCCCCCGTTTCCGGCGCGAAAAAGCACTTCCAGCGGCCGTGCTTGCGCCCCTCACACCCTCCGTGCATCGCCCTCGGGAACTTCCCCAACACCAGCACCCTCCCTGACGCCACCGCCAGTGCCAATGCCCCTGCCACGTTGGTGAGCTGTGCGCCAATTCCGTACTTGGCCTGGGGGACGAACGTGGCATAGAGGAACCTGCGTGAGGGAGGGAGGGGGGGTCGGCAAAGGGGGGAAAATGGAAAGGGAGAGGGTTGGAAGGTGGGTTGGAAGGTGGGTTGGAAGGTGGGTTGGAAGGTGGGTTGGAAGGTGGGTTGGCAGGTGGGTTGGCAGGTGGGTTGCTACTTCTAAGGCGCCCCTCCGTGCTTCGCCCACTGCAACTTCCCCAGCACCAGCACCCGCCCTGACGCCACTGCCAGCGCCAATGCCCCTGCCACGTTGGTAAGTTGCGCGCCGATTCCGTACTTAGATTGAGGGACGAATGTAGCGTAGAGGAACCTGCGTGAGGGAGGGAGGGGAATTAGGCCAAGGGGTTCGAAACGTGGGTTGCTACTTCTGAGGCGCCCCTGCCACGTTGGTGAGCTGTGCTCCAATGGGGGAAGTACTGGCCGTACTTGGCCTGGGGGACGAACGGGGCGTAGAGGAACCTGTGTTGCGTGGTGGAATGAGGGAGACACGGGGGAGAAGATGACACGGGGGAGAAGATGACACGGGGGAGAAGATGACACGGGGGAGAAGATGACACGGGGGAGAAGATGACACGGGGGAGAAGATGACACGGGGGAGAAGATGACACGGGGGAGAAGATGACACGGGGGAGAAGATGACACGGGGGAGAAGATGACACGGGGGAGAAGATGACACGGGGGAGAAGATGACACGGGGGAGAAGATGACACGGCGGAGAAGATGACACGGCGGAGAAGATGACACGGGGGAGAAGATGACACGGGGGAGAAGATGACACGGGGGAGAAGATGACACGGGGGAGAAGATGACACGGGGGAGAAGATGACACGGGGGAGAAGATGACACGGGGGAGAAGATGACACGGGGGAGAAGATGACACGGGGGAGAAGATGACACGGGGGAGAAGATGACACGGGGGAGAAGATGACACGGGGGAGAAGATGACACGGGGGAGAAGATGACACGGGGGAGAAGATGACACGGGGGAGAAGATGACACGGGGGAGAAGATGACACGGGGGAGAAGATGACACGGGGGAGAAGAGAAGATGACACGGGGGAGAAGATGACACGGGGGAGAAGATGACAGGGGGGAGACACATGGCTCGGGAGAGGGTTGACAGGTGGGTTGCCCCTGCCACGTTGATGAGCTACTGCAGGCCAAAGGCCAAGGGTTGTGCATGGGGCGGGGAAGGGAGGGGCGGAGGAGGTGGGGTTATGCATGCTTGGTGTTGGTGTTGGTGATCTTGTGATGATTCTAAACCTCAAGCGCGCCAAGCCAATGGCATTCTTGGACTGCGGGACGCAGGCAGCATAGAGGAAGTCGCGAGGAGGGAGTGAATGGGATGGGTTAAAGGGTAGCAAGCAACCACATTGGCACCAGCTGAGGCAGCTCACTTGACTGAAAGGTGGTAACAGTCGGCGACTCGGTGGGGTGCGGTGCTGGTGAAACGAGATGTCCGTACAAGCACCCCAATAAGCAGCAGCACTACAAGCACCCCCATATGCACCATGACAATCGCCTCGCCTCACTTGACAGAAGGGTGGTAGCAGTCAGAGGGGTGCTGGTGCAGCCAGATGTCCCTCTGCAAACGCCCTCAAAAGCACACTTATAGGCAGCAATATAAGCACCCTTATAGGCACCACCATGACAAGCAGCTCACTTGACAGAAGGGTGGTAGCAGTCGGAGGGGTGCTGATGAAGCCATATGTCTCTCTGCACACGCCGAGTCAGCGGGTAATTCTCCTCGTCCGCCCCCACCACCCACGGCGGGTATGGTCCCTCCACCACCCCTCCCCTCGCCCCCCCCTTCCCCTCCCCCTCCCCCTCCCCTTCCCCCTCCCCCTCCCCCTCCCCCTCCCCCTCCCCCTCCCCCTCCTCCTCCTCATGCTCCCTCTTTCCCCCCTCCTCCTCATGGCTTAAGATCCCACCGCCCATGCTTCGTGCGCTCAAAACTCGATCATTATCAATAGACCTACCGCGTTTCTCCTCGCGAACCGGTGCCCACGGGACCTGCTCCACCCCTTTCCCCTGGCGGACGAGAGCCCACGGCACCTGCTCCACCACGTCCCGTCCGCGCGCGAACCTCTCGTACTGCGTCACGGCTTTGACCATCGCCTCGCAGTTCACCAGGTGCGGAGGGACCGGCGGAGGGACAGGCGAATGGACAGAGACTGTCGTTTCCTTCTGCTGCTCCTTATTCTCATCTTGTTGCTGTTGCTGTTGCTGACTCTGCTGCTGTTGTTGACTCTGCTGCTGTAGCGGTGGTGCTTCCTGCGAAAGGTCTGCTGAATCGTCAGAAGGAGCCAGTGCTGCTGCTGCATTCCAAGGTTCCACGTCAGGACCCCCCTTGTCGCTCATAACAGCAGGGTAGCTGCTTTCTGTCAGTGTTCCGAGCAGTGTAGCGTTGGCGTCAGGATCACTCGCGGGAATGCCGGAACCTTGTTGAGAGCTAGTGGTAATGCTCTCGTCGCTGCTGACGTCACGGGTTGCGTACGGTGACCCAGGCCAAAGCAGCTCTCCCCAAAGCCGCATAAGCTCCTGTTCCCGTTGTAAAACAGCGGCTTCTAACGGGTCAGCTGCTAACGAATCACTGAGAGATGACTGTGAATTGCTAGGTTGGCCGAGCGAACTGGTGTTCATCCGCGCCAAGCCGACGGATTCGTGAGACGAATTTAACGACGCTGATGATGATCGCTCAAGAGAGGATTCAGAAGAAACGGTGAAATACCGTCCCAGGAGAATCCCGGAACCTGAGCCGAGGAGATACCGTCCCAGGAGAATTGACAATGTAACCATCAGGAAAACAACGAGCACATAAAAGGTAGGGGCGTTAGCAACGTTGCTTCCATGGCTTAGGAATCCCGACGAGCTCGCGGAACCACCAGGACCGTCAGTAACAACTCCACAACAGCTATTCGGCCTCTGTTTCTCGGTCAGCAGGAGAAGTATCGATTCATCATCGATTTCGTTTAACCTTTCTTCTGAAATCATCAACGCCGCATGATCCTCTTCCTCCTCCTGAATGTCTGCCTGACCGTCCCCCTCCTCGCGGCAATCATGGTGATGAGCTTCTGGAGGGCAGCTACTGGGTCCTCCTTGCCTAGCAAGCTCCATGACACGCGACGCGAGGGCTCAGCTGCGGGAACTAAGAGTCGAGAACTCCAGCTGCTCGCACCAGAAAAGAAACTCGTGTCATTTTCCAGGATCACCATTATTATGACTCTTCTTCTCCACTGCAGAACCCGCGGAATGAGATTGTGTGAAATGCTGCCGCGTGGGGATGGCCGAGAAGCGGAAGTGGAGGTGTTCGTGAGCGACACGAACGCAATAATGAGTACAGATCTGATGCTACAGTCACCTGGCACTGTATTTCAGCGGGCATATATGCAGTTGTCAGCTCATTAGCTGTTAGTGCTGTTTCCATCGCGTGGTCGTATTATCAGTTTCTTTCAAAGATTATAACTCTTATCTAGTACCATACCTAGGAGAGGAATTATCACTTTTATATTGGTGCATAATTCATGCACCAATATAATCTGCTCAGAAAGGACCTGCTGGGCGTAAATTCTCGCTATCCAATCCATCTAGCGATTCTCATACTGTTGTGATCACATAGATAAATGGATACAGACAGAAAACGCTTTTTTTATACGTACTTATTGCTACACTGCAATGCTCAGTTCTTACACCAATCTCGCCGCCTGATGAGTTCCCATGAAGTCACACGACCATCGTGGACCCAGAGTTTACCACTCGCGCCAGTTTCCATCATCCACTCATCCGCTTTACAGCGCACTGGCTCTGTCGTTGAAGGCCACGTCTGCACATTCATCAAAATCCATGCGGTGGTATACCACCAGTCCATCAACTCATCATTCGCAAGCACCTTTTCCCCCCTAGCTCATCCATCCAGCAGGCAGCGAGCCAGCCCTCTTTCCGCCTATGACGCTCAGACATCCATATGCCACGTCATCCACCTCTACTTCCGCCCCGATACTGCTCCATCCGAGTGCACCCTCTCTGCTGCCGCTCCTCCCCCAGCCACACTACACCCTGCAGCCATTTTCCGTTTCTCCGTTCCCTCGCCAGCATCTGTTGCTCTCCATTCCCTTAGCTTCCAATTCCCTTCCGAGGCCGCCGTCCGTAGTCTCCCCGTAGTCTACTCTCAGGCTTCAAAAATGGCGGCCCTCGCTACCAAGCTTGCGCTCACAAGCTCCCCATGCCTCTCATCAGTGTCCCTCCAACGGGGATCCGCCCTCCCCGTCGTGTCGGTCGCGCCTGTCAGGAAGACCCGCGCTGCTGCCGGTCGCGTCGTGGCCTCCGCCGCGACCACCGATATCGAGGAGCTCGTGTCGCAGATTAAGAACCTCACGCTTATCCAGGCCAGGACTCTCACTGACAGGCTGCAGGAGGAGCTCGGCGTGTCTGCCGCTGCCATGATGCCTGTCGCCGGCATTGCCGCTCCCGCCGCCGGCGAGGCCGCTGCCGTGGTTGAGGAGCAGACTGAGTTCGATCTGCTTCTGGAGGAGGTCCCGGCTTCGTCGCGTATCGCCGTGATCAAGGTCGTGCGCGCGATCACCGGCCTTGGCTTGAAGGAGGCCAAGGACATGATTGAGGGTCTTCCTAAGAAGGTTAAGGAGGCTGTTGCTAAGGAGGATGCGGAGGATGCCAAGAAGCAACTGGAGGGTGCCGGTGCCAAGTGCAGCATCAAGTAAAGGAAGTGATGATGTGATCGTCTTTGCCAAGTAGGAGGAGGGCTCCCTCGTGTGGATAATGTGCGTTGGTTAGCTGTGCGGTCTTTGTTACGGCAGTGAAGCATTTTCGCAGCCAGACGGAGATCGCGAGGTTAGTCGCGCGCTGGTCCGTGCATTGATCCTTTGTCTTTCTGTTTACTATAATCACGTTCACTCAATGCTTCTTGTATTCACACAATCCCCCTCCCTCAAGAACATGGATTGACAATGACTGTCATGGGAAACTGTGCAAGGTAACAGGAAGAGATATGTGAGGTGGAGAAGTTCCGACTTGGGGCGGTCGGAGTCACGGTGACAGGTTATAGTCCAGTCCAGAGTAGAGGGTTTTCGTTGGTAGCTGCAGGCGAATCCAACGCGGAGTGTTTTGAGAGGTTTCAGTTCTAGTCCGTTGTGTAGTCCCTCTCTTCTCCCGTCCCCAAAGGTCACGTAGGACGTCGCTTCTCCCGCTCCGAGCAGTTTCTTAGCTGGGTTCCCATTTTCATCCCTTCTTCCAACTCGTATAGCCCATGTTCGGTGTCAGGTGTTGGAGACGGTATCTCAAGTCGGCGTGTATGCGTGTGTCCGTCCCATGACTACATTGAGTCCCGCATTTTCGTCTGGTCTGTCCAGCCCGTGGAGTCCATGTCCGTTATCAGGTCCGAGGTGTCTTAGACCTCAGCATTGAAGGCGCACGTGTTTGGACTTCCTCATTCATGTCTACATACCAATGTCCAGTCAGTGGTCAGAGCGTTCAGGCCACTCTTGAGGTTGGTGGGGTTGGTGGTCAGTGGTCCATAAAACAGGGTTTTTGGAATCAAAGAATCTCTTAGTCACGTTCAAGGTGTAGTGTGGTTGTAGCCACATGTAGTAGGTCCCTTTCTGGGATAATGTTGAACTGAACAAAACCAGGAGGAAGTTGACGTAGGATAGAACTACACTCCTGGACTCAGCTTAACCCCAACGGTTCCACACAGAGGTTTTTTAGCCCTACCGTTTTGCGTCAGAGGAGCGTGCATGCAGGACTTCCGCTGATTGTGCTCTATATTTAAAACCAGTATCTAAAGTAAGAGAAATTGGCTTCAATTGCAAAACACTTGTTGGAGTGTGAAGGGAATACACTTAAGCATTCCCGAAGGTGCAGCTACATCGCACCAGTCACTATCGAAGCAGCGCGAGCAGTAAAAGTCGGATCAGCCTATACCAAAGGCAGGAAGGTCAACAGGCGCAAAAGTCAACTGTCGCGACTGTTGACCATCTGGACCGACGATTGACTCACCATCGAGGAATGTCAACAGGCGTAACCGCACGCACGGTTACAAGCAGCGACTCGGTAACAAGAAAGGAAATGCAACAGTCAAAGTCACTGCTGTACTGCCTGTAAAACAGTTACAATAAGGGAATGTACCCCTTAGAGTACATGGCTAGTTAGGACTATTTATTTGCTTGTATTCTATCCTTTCAACAACTTTGTCATCTACATTCACTATGATCAAGGTTCCTACCAAGACTTCCGCTACCAACTCTCCTAGAGGCACTTCCTATCCTATCCAAGATCCTCACTCTAACATGGTATGAGAGCTAGTTTGGATTATAGGAACTGCCAAAGAGGGTCTCTTTGTCAGAGGTCCACTGGGGATCCCCGATGATCCTAGGGAAGGGTTACAGGCATGTCGGCCTGGGGGGTTATGGGCGCACTCACCCGCTACTTAAACAAGCCCTTTTATCCCAGTGGTTAGTGGCTGGGATTCTGACATGGTATCAGAGCGAAGGTCTCGGGTTCGATTCCCGGTGTGTGCACCTCGGGCATCCCAGTGCGGGGGGGTGTCAGAGGTCCACTGGGGATCCCCGATGATCCTAGGGAAGGGTTACAGGCATGTCGGCCTGGGGGGTTATGGGCGCACTCACCCGCTACTTAAACAAGCCCTTTTATCCCAGTGGTTAGTGGCTGAGATTCTGACACTCTTGACAAGGACAACCTTTTGCATAATTTACTATAAGGGCAAGCATCATGCCAGGCGCCGACTGCGGAGAAACTGGAGAAACCCCAGTACAACCTTCCACTAATGTTACTTCTACTACAACGACTGTGGACACAGCGCTCCTCGAGCAGCTGATTTCCCGCATCAGCGCACTGGAGAGCCATCAGCCAATGAGCATCGACGGCTCCAGCTACGCCCGAAGACCTCCCGATCCTCAAGGAGCTGGATCAGAAAGATCCTTCACCTTCGACAATCGCGGAGCCCCAGGACCTGCTCAAACACAGCAAGCACATTTTGAGACAATGGCGTCAATGCAGAACAAGTTTCTGACAACATCAAAGCTCAAAACAACAAAGCCCTTCGACGGGCAAGACTTCTACACCTGGAGCTTCGAATTCGAGCTGTTAGCTCAAGGCGCTCAAATCTGGATGTACTACGACGGTTCGTATCCCTTCCCGACTAACGGCTCACCTCAGGAGAAGACGCAGTACTACAACGAATCTCTCCTGGCCTTCACCGTACTGATTCGAAACCTGTCGCCAGAAGAACAGCTAAGTATTCGCCCTTTCAAGAACGAGTGGGCACCCGCGCAACAATCCTGGGAGCACCTGCGCACCTGCCACATGGCAACAGATTCGGTGACACTCGGTCGCCTGCTTAACCAGCTGAACAACGTCAGAATGTTCCCCGGCGAAAAGGCCGGATCCTACATCAACCGCTGCAGAAATCTGAGAGACCAATTCAAGAAAAGCGGCGGAAACTTCCCTGACGACATGTTCGTGACAATCATTCTCGCTGGATTAAGCTCGTAATGCGCCAGTGTAAATCGCTCCTTCGCACTCAAGGAACTGTCAGCGAAACCGCCCTCTGCTCGACGCTCCTCTCCGAACAAAAGGAAATGGACCTGTACAACGAGAGAGGCAACAAGAAGGAGAAAATCGCTTTCTATGCACAAGCGCCACCAGACAAGAAGAGACTCTTCTGCAAGTACTGCAAGAAGACTGGACACACAATCCAAGACTGCTGGAAGTTGAACGGCAACAACAACAACCAGAAGGGAGCTGCCACTTACCAGCAAGGAAGAACTCCAGCGCGCAACCAGACCATGTCACCACCAGCCGTCGCAAGCACATCTCAAGCTCCGACGCGCATCCCTGCGAACACAACCGACAAAGGCAAAAGCAAGGTGTTGACTTGCATGGTGCGTCGAGGTCCGCCTCGTCCCAACCGACACTACCGCTTCTTCCGCAGCTGGGAAGACATGTTCGTAGATCCACCGCAAGAACGTCCCGAAGGGTCGGTCGAAGACGAAGAAGAAAACGACCCAACATACGACGAGCTGTCGGTCGGACGCATGGAGTACGACTGGGAAATGCCGCCTTGGATCCAGGAGTCGCCACCTGCACGCGAGGCATACGAAGACGAGGACTACACCTATAATTACGAACACGATCACGACATGGAACATCACATCACGCCAAGACTCGCCAACCTCGCCAAAGCAAGAAAGGAGGTTAACACCTGGTACCTGGATAGCTGCTGCGGCCAGCACATGGTGTCGTCAGACACCTTCATCCTCAACAGCGAACGACTCTGCAATGAGGTGGAAATTACTGTTGCTAACAGTCAAACCATCTACGCCAGCAGTCGCGGACAAATTCAGCTGCAGTCACGCGACACAGGTTACTGCATTCACGTCAGCGACGTCCTCGTCGTGCCCGAGCTCCGGTACAACCTTTTGTCCCTCCACCAGCTGATGAAGTGCGGAGTCGGCCTGGAAACAACAGAAGACGAAATGCATTTAATATATAAGGGGACCTTCATCGGAAGGGCGACAAGTGTGGAAGGAGTCTTCGTGCTTGACTTCGAGTCACCAAGAACCTCTGGCGACAGCGAGAACATCCTCGTTCTCGATCCACCAGGCCACCCGTCACCACCCAGGTGGAGCCATCCGGGAGAGACGGACTACCAACGGCCAGTCCCCGACGGCACGTTCCGCGCTCTTGCCGTCCCTGTCGCCTCAACCACAAAACCTGAAAACACGCAAACGCCAGTGGCAGAAGAAGAAGAAGTCACATCAGGCACGGCAATCGTAACGACTGAAACAGCAGAGACAGAGACCGCACAGTCAACCTGGCCCTCTGTCTCACACCCTACCGGCTGGAACACAACTCAAGGCTGGGACACCGTCGACGTGCGTTGGGTCATGGAAAACACCGCTCTTGGAGAAGCTAGATGGGGGAGTTTCGCCAAATAGCCTGCAGCAGAAGAAACCGAACCGGTACAGTCACCAGAAATACCTGAGGAGGCACCAGAAGCTAGACAGGGGGAACTGCAAACGGAGTACGGACCTCACCTGCTTCCTATTACAACTGACGGTAGGGACTACCTCCGCCTGGAGACAAGGGGAGTGGTGATCGGAGACACCCCCTTCGAAGAAGGAGAAATCGCGCTGATCGACGATCGACACCCGCGAACCACGCCTCCGCCTCCTGAAGGACCACTGGAACTGCCAGTTACGATCGACACCGTCACCATCGGTGAGACCAGCGGGACGTATCACGGCGCAACAATCCAAGCAGCAGCAGTCCACGTCACCGTACCCGACGAACCTGCGGACAAAACCAGAAGGGCAACAGCAGAAGAGATATTAGCACGGGAGAAGGAGCTATACACCCGTACCAAAGGATATCGGGCCGACGGCGACATCTGGCATCAACGCATGGGTCACCCGTCAGTCGAGGTACTCAACAACTGCATAAACGCAAAAGTTTTTGCGGAAGACGCACTACTGCTACCTGACGGAAAACTGCTGAAACCAAGAACCGATCTACCCAATTGCTCGGTCTGCCCGACAGCCGCGCTACGTCACACGCCCTTCGCTGAGAAAATCCCTGGAGCTGAACGTTACAAGCCGCTGGAGAAAGTTTACAGCGACTTCTTGGTTCTTACGGCAAAAGGAGTCGGCGGGGAACAGTACACACTCACCTTCATCGATGCCAG